ATCTTGTAAATTGATGCATCTTGGGATTTTATAACATATTTATGAAAAAGTAAGTCTAGTGACCTACTTTTTAAATTTTGTAAGCATTTGTTTTCGAATTGATTTGAAGGCATATTACGGGCACTTTAAGGCCTATGATCATCAAACTTTGTCAATTTTGCATCTTGGTTTCTTGTACAATGTCACCTTAAAGGTAGGTCACCATGACCTACTTTTTAAACTTTATGACTAATTCTTTTTAAAACATTTAATCCAATTATTTCAGACACTGAGAGGTTTAGAATCATCAAATCTTGTAAATTGATGCATCTTGGGACCTTAAAACATATTTATGAAAAAATAGGTCACTGTGACCTATTTTTTAAATTTTGCAGGCATTTGTTTATGAATTGTTTAAAAGGCATATTTTGATTACCTTCAGACCTAGGATCATTAAACTTGGTCAGCAGATGCATCTTGTGACTTTAAAAAATGTCGACCAAAAGAAAGGTCACGGTGACCTAGATTCAACATTTTATGGCCATATTTTAGTATCTTAGGTATTTATTGGCTTAGAATCATCAAACTTTGTGAGTTGATGCGTCTTGGGTTTTCGGAGAGTGACGACCAAAAAGTAGGTCACGGTGACCTACTTAAAAATTTTTATTGCTTTATTTAAGTATCTACAGTACTTATTGGCTTAGAATCATCAAACTTTGAAAGTTGATGAATCTTGGGTTTTCGGAGAATGATGTCCAAATAGTAGGTCACTTTGAAATACTTTCGACATTTAAAGGCTATATTTTAGTATCTTAGGTTTTTATTGGCTTAGAATCATCAAACTTTGTGACTTGATGCGTCTTAGGTTTTCGGAGAATGACAACCAAACAAGTAGGTCACGGTGACCTACTTTAAACATTTTATGGCTTCATTTAAGTATCTACAGTATTTATTGGCTTAGAATCATCATACTTTGTAAGTTGATGCATCTTTGGTTTTAAGAGAATGATGTCAAAAAAGTAGGTCACGGTGACCTTATTTTTGACATTTAAGGCTTTATTTAAGTATCTACGGTACTAACTAGTTTAACTTTGTTTGTTGATGCATCTTTGGTTTTTAGAGATAGGCGACCAAAAAATAGGTCATGGTGACGTACTTTTGAATATCTCAAGGTCTTATTGGCTAAGAATCATCAAACTTTTTAGTTGATGTATCTTGGGTACAATTTCATAAAATGTAGACAAAAAAGTAGGTCACGGTGACCTAATTTTAAAAATCTCAAATACTTATTGGCTTAGAATCTTCAATCTTTGTTTATTAATGCATCTTGAGTCTTCAGAAAACTACAATCTTAATAAAGGTCACTGTGATGTACTTATGGCTTTTTATATCTTTATTATTAAAAATATTTTCAGTCCTAATTGGCTTAGAATCATCAAACTTTGTCAGTTAATGCAACTTGGGTCTTAAGATACTCAGGGTTAGAGGGTTCAAATAGAAGTGATAGATTGCAAAATTTATCAGAAGAGCGATTCAAGGCACTTAGGCCTCTTGTTTCAGTTCTCTATGATTCTTTAAAACATTATCACAGAAAAGAAAAATCCACTGGCTGACTCTCCAAGCTTTTTTAAAAAGCTAAACTTGTACAACCTTAGTAACGGAAGTGATGTAAAGCGAGGGGAGGTAATAACTGAAACATAAGATCTAGCAGTCATGTTGTGTGTTTACATGAGGTAAGATCGAGTAAGTGTTTGAAGTTAAAGATACAGTTATTAAATCTTGAATTTTCCATGGATTCCGAGGACTGGAAATGTGGGGATTGCATGGATAAGATGATTGAGCTGGTCGTCATGGGGGTGTGTCCCCATACCAAACCAGATTATACAAAATGTTTTGCGTTCCTTTTTGGAAATCAACCAATGAGAGGCGAAAATATAAACAAAATTAAATACATGTACGTTTTACATGTATAACGTCCCTCTCAAGATTTTAATTAATGTGGAGACGTCAACACTTGCCGATGGAAAGCTGCAAAAACATGTCTTACATTTATGCTCGGTACGTAGGGCGATCGAACAGTTACGGATTTTTTAGCACCAGCATTTACTGCAACACGGAACCTCTGCTTAAACGGTGTCATCCGAAGGACTGGTGTCCACGTTCCACAGCTGGATTTGTACACAAATATTTATTATAGCACATAAAGTAATAAATGCTTCAAGTCGTTGATCATACGAATGAACTACATAGAATGTAATGCAATTTAGACATCTTTATTTTAAAGTTTTGAATTGAATTTGTATTCTTATGTCCTTTAAAAACTTTAAGCTTAACAGTTATTTATTACACAATTAACTTCAGGTTAACAAGGATAGCCTATTAAATAAGTATCGCTTGGTGATCAGGAGGCCTGGCGTCGATTCTCTTTCGCGGCGCCGCGTTAAACCTAAGACGTAAATAAACAAAAGTTGTGACTCTTCCTTCGCCAAGCGCTCGGAATTAGAAGTGATAGTAATAAATGGGTCTTTGGGATATTACATTACATTTATTTCGAAAAATAATTCTCACTGCTCAATGGCCCTGAGTGCCGACTATAAATCTAAATTTGAATTCATACGGTGATGTCTCTTAATTGGTGAAAAATTCTCGAGAGGATTATTAAACAATATACAATCAATTAAGAATTTTAAAAAGTTGAATGTATTTATCCTACCTTCCGTTTGTACATACCGGTAGCTGTTTGGGACCTTTTAGACATTTTTGCCTAAAACGTTTACGTTTATACATAGATCCATGTCGCACTTTGAAAAATGTTCCCTTCAAATGATGCATTTTTTTTTCGTAGTAGACATAACAGAAAAAAACATCTTGGGTCTCTACAACACAACGTTTATAAACTCTTTTTTAAGTCAAACAAACAAAAATCAATAATAGCCTGGAGAATTCTTTCGTCGTTAAACACAGTATAAAGTGTAACATCGACACCGCTGATATGTAACTTGACAGACAAAATACAAATGATAGCATGTGATACGTTACTTTATTACCTAACCTACTATATAAATTATAATTAGGTATTTTGAACTGTTTCACGGTTTACTTTATGTTTTTGCGTGAAACAGTGAAGAACTGGAAAAATGAACTGAAATTATCAAAGCGTCATCGTGATATTCAAGCGTTTTGCATGATCAGCGTTGCTTATACCTGCTCTATAATTAATCAAATTTAAATAAAACACACAAACAATTCATTTATTAAGTATTACTTTAAATTAAAAATATTAATTTAATCTTTATATTATGTGTTCAGCTAATTAATAGACAAGTATGTGAATAAACAGTTGTGAATACGTTTTATTGATTGTTTGTGTGTTTTTATTCCAATTTAATTAATTATATAGTAAGTTAGGTAATAAAACACTTATTCAATTACTCTGAAACAGTCAAAACTTCCCTTATGCAGCAATATGCCCACGACCTTCGGCCTCGGGCAACAGGAGTATATATACAACATTTTGACTGTTTACCTCGTAGTCATTAAATAAGTGTATACTGTTACCTTCTACTGTAGAAACAGTGTTTTGTTTTTCCTTTCGCACTGAATCTGTAAGACAATATTCTGAGCAGGTTTATCGTTACATAAACTAAACAAAAGCTTTGATTATCATTATCTTACCTGTAACAGCTGTGTAAGATCTATTAATCAGCCGAGATTTTAAAAAAATATCTGAAATAATCAAACATCGCCAACTCGTGATTTCCAGCATGCGAAATGCAACCTGCTTTCATGTTGACATGCAAGCTATTAACATCAGAGTATCATGAACAGTACACAAGTGAAATAAAAATGAACTTTAGACATCTATGTAAAAAATCTTACAAATATATCAAAAACGAAGTTTCCAGGATTTAATATTTAGAACCGTCTGGAGCAAGACTCCAATAGATAACAACTGCATGTATCTTGATTACTGAGAACGAAGCAATAACCATGTTCATATAGCTCGAGATCTGAGAAAATACATGTAAATTATTCTTTGCTATTTTTAAATTCTATCTTTCTGACGATAAGGTAATTTTCTTAAACCTGACACAGTCATAGGACTTCTAGCCCACAGACTGTCATTTTTTAACTCATGAAAATTTTTTAAAGTATTCAGAAATTACTGAAAAAGCAATTCATATCCCTTACTGGGATCCCATTTTCTCTTTAGAATTTCATTTTACAATTATTAGGACCCTTATATGAAATATTGTCCTCAAATGGGCAAATTTCAGTCAAAACTTACTTAAGAATAATTCTTTCTTGGAATTAAAAGTCTGCATGTTTATTTTGATGTTCTGTCATCAGTTTTTAGTATAATATTCATGGACGTCCTGAACATACAAGCAAGTAATTTGTCATTGTTCAGCGTCATGTATTGCTTTTAAAATCGGGAAAAAAATGCTGCACAGTGATCGTTAGAGCCATTTCAGCGTTTTTCCCTATTTATGTCGTAAAATCACCTTTTCCGACCAGTAGGGATTACAAATAGAGTTTATTTTGCATTAAAATCAAAATATTTGCCAAAGGTGTACTGTCGCACTAATGACTGCATGGAATTAAAAAAAAAAAACACTGCGCAAAGTCATGCACACTCGAATTTAACACGGCCTCGTTAATTAAAAACACTTTTATATTAAAAAAAACATATTTTTGTGGAGGACATTATAAAACAAACTCCTAAAGAGAAAATAGGGTCCTAGTAGAGGACATGTATTGCTTATGCAATACTCTCAGAATGCTTGTTTTTTATTGTTCAAATATATTTTATTGCACATGTAATATTCCCCCCCCCCCCTAAAGTAAGATGTTGCTATTCTTTATGTTTCAATACACACTGTATCTTCCATTTTGACATTAAAAGTTGCATGTCGATTGCTTGTATTTAGGCCCCAAATTTGCCACTATTATACATATAAATAACTACATTCAAAATTACCAACATATATTTTTCTAAAAGTATATTTTAATTCCTTTTGTGTATATTCAATTTATATTCATTGTTTTAATTACAAGATAGACACCATCCAGAAAAGGTCGACCTCATTACGTTATCGCTTCTGATAGATCCCTTGGGGACTTCGGTTGAATGAGTTCTCGTATAAATGACGTCATTCTTTTGGACAGAGAGTACAACCGTTCCCGTGACGCCTCCGTAATCCCCTCCACCTCCTATGAAGTTCGCCCCAACTGGTTGGCTGTTGAGAGTGATTTCAATTGACATATAGTCATGACCGGCAATATTAGTAGCTGTGAATGTGTTCCATGTAAAGACGTACACTCCTCCCACAGGAGCAGTAAAGGTTCCCGAATGTTTGCTGTATCCGTTTCCAATATTGGTTACTTCATGATCATATATTAGTATATGATGGGCGCCTGGATTGTTTTCGTTTGATGACATGTAAGCGTAGAAGGCCACTACAGATTCTGTGGGAGCTGGGACAATTCTGTTGACTGTAAAAAACATACAAACTGATATATAAGTTTGTAAATAATTTATAAACATTTGACATACTTATTTATTTTTCTTGATCTCTGAAAGCACATTGTAGGGTTTGTGGACCTTTCGACAGTCCATCTCACTGTTCGAAAGGGATTTTATGAATGTATATAATAATGTATTTAATCTGTGCATTTTGCAAATATTAAAATGGATTTGTTTATATATTGTGTGTTATATAGTTTATTTGTTTTGTTTATATAGTAGTAAAATCAAACTAGTCTTGTATGCTAAAGAAACATGGCAAAAGCCAGTCCATGTAATCAAAATTAAAAAAAATAATTGAGGGGGGATAAATTTTGTGAATACGTACATTTTCGTTTAAAGTTGCCAGGTAGACTATCTTCACTATCGCTCCTCTTTGCTATATTGTGTTCCCGTAAATCCATTTCTTCTTTACTCACAGATTTTTCTTTTGAGATCGTTGACATTTTTGTAATGAGTTCATCCTTTTTCTTAACATCACGTTTTAGAGTGTTAATTTCAATCTCTTGTTCTACCAGTCTCTGTTCTTGGCCTTTAACCTTCTTATTTAAAAATTGAACAAGCTTTTTCAAATCCTCAAACTCCTCCCGAGAAACAACACTCCTATGAATATTTTCTTCCGATGAAATTCCAAGGATTCCCGACAAGAGGATGGAAAATATCACGAATTTTTTGAATCCCATGATACTCCTTGTAGTATGGAAACGTATGGAAATAACGGTGTGCTTTCTTATCTTTTAAGAATTACATGTAGATCTGGGTCATATTTACGATAGACCTCAGATAGTTAAGTATATTAAGTGCTTTTACGGTTGCACATATCATTCATAAGGATTTTCTTCCTAATGCACAGGACTTTTGAAAACTTATGTGTTATTAAGTAAATTAGAAAAAAATGTTGAAAATTTTGAAGTTTCTATCAATTGCAAAGCAATAAACAAGTGGCTCATGGGCAACACTACAGATCTGAGCACTGTGGCTAGGAAAAAGGCAAAACTCAATACTTTACAGTTTTTAAAAGCTTCAATACGTGTGGTCCGCTAAAAGGTAAAAAGGGGATGATTTGAATTAACTTGAATCTACTAAAAATGCTTATGTATTTCTTTTACTTACTGTAGCTTTTTTTCCTATAAGTTTGAAATTTTATTTTCCCTAACCTACCCCCGGGGTCATGATTTAAACATGATTTGAATCTACTCAACCTGAGGATGCTTTCGTATAGATATGAACAACCATGTATTTGAAGATTCTTTTTATTTTTTAGTTAAATTTATTGTTACACTATGGTCCCAACTTACACATGGGGATCATGATTTGAGGACTTTGAAACAACACTACCTGATCAATATTACCACTAGTACTAATTAATGGCTTTGCTGTTCTTGAGAAGATTTTTCAAATATTTTTCTTAAATATTCCTATGTAAAATTTTGATTGTCCTTTGTGGCCCCAACATATCCTTGGGGGCTATGGTTTGAACAAACTTGAATCTACACTACCCGAGAAAGCTTCCACACTAGGTTCATATTTCCCTACCTAGTGGTTCTTGGGAAGAAGATTTTTGAATTATGCCAAAAAATTCTTCAGTTTTTCTAAATTATCTCACCTTAAATGAAGGCATGGCCTCTTACCCAAGGATGGTATTTTGCAAGTTTGGTTGAAATTACCCAGTAGTTTTGGAGTAGAAGTCGAAAATGTGAAAAATTAACAGATGAACAGGCAGATAGACGGTTGGACAGACAGACTTTAGGCAAAATGTAATAAGAATAGCTCACTTGAGCTTTCAGCTCAGATGAGCTTTAAATGATATTTGTTTTCAAAGAAGTAGAAATGTACGAGGGGTGATCAGGAAGTTCGAGAAATATATTTACATTAATACAGCAACAATTCAGATCAGAATGCAATCTGGTACATATATAATCATATAGAAGTTCCATAAATAACACATGATAATATTAGTTATGTAGATACTTCGAGGGACTGTACGGAATTATGTGGGGTCCTATGAAACGTCAGCTATGAAGCTTCTTGCGGGGTCACGTGAAAACAGTATAATTATTGATGATGTGTGCTTGGTAAATATTAATATATGGTGGGTTAATCACGTGGAGGTGGCACATTAGCAGTGTAAGGTGTGTAGACAGCATAACATCGTTTTAAACAGTATAACTCTAAGCCAATGAAATTTCAAGATATTTATCAGAGGCAGGACAAAGTATGTTTTTGCGTCATGATTGTGACTTCACAATGTGTAAATTACGCCTATGTGTAAGCGATTTGTGACAATAGAAATGTTGACACAGCCTGTAAGACTGTAAAGTTTAACGTACCAGTTGGAAATTCCTTTGCATATAGTAATATATGAAATTTTTATGATGACAAAGGGCTTTCATGAAGTTTAATTATTAATTTGATGAATTGTTTTAGTGAAAGAAGTGAGATGCGGGTTGTTGTGTTGTCCATTGAAAGCAAGCTGTAGAACAGAATTATGTGTCTTTGCTTCAGCAATTTATTATGAAATATCGCAAGTAAGTTACGGCAAGAAAATAGCTGAATATATTATAAAATAGTATAATAAGTAAATCCCTAAACTCTTGACCTTTAGCATATTAAATATGATTATAAGAAGGTGTCCATTCTATATCCAAATTGGATAAGCGTTCTTAAGACAGGGAAATCAGGTTGTGACACCATGCTACATTTCTGGAAAAGGATTTTTTATGAACCCATCCTATTTCCAAGATTGACTAATTTAGGTAAGTAAAAAAAAAAATTGCACTCGTCAGAAAAATTTGGCCGTTTTTTTTTTTAGGGGGGGGGGGGGGGGGCTTTGGTAACGTTTTCCAACAAGCGAAATAGTACATTAGTGAATTTTAAATGCTACTAATCCAAGGAAATCAATTTTTAGTATTTTATTCATTTTTAAACATGCAGTTTCAAGTCCTTTTTCAAAGATTAACAATACTTTAAACATTTTCAATACATTTACAATTATGATTGAAACTAGGAATTTTATGTTTCACATGATACAAATCCGAGATTTAAGGTTCGCTTCCTCACTCCGAGACACTAGATCAAATCGCTGGTGATTTAAAACAAATAGCATCAATGACACGACTATCTTGCCATGTACAGCCATATTCAAAGCTGTATCAGTATGATAGAGCATATGATTCATTTTTAATTTGAAAAATTCTTTTCAATATATATTTTAAGAAAATAGTTTTTACACTAAAATTTAAAGTAACAATGAAATACGAGTATTTATCCCCTTTGATAGGATATTTTTAGAAAAAGTGTGATGAAAATTATTTGTTGACTTAAAAGCGATCAATTTTGTACAAATTATATCATCATAGCATGTAAATGATCGGTTGCTCAAGAGTAAATTTCTAAGAAAGATTAAGTTTTAAAGGATTATTGTTAGAATTTTGAAGGACTTGTGTAAATAAAACTCTAAATATCGTTATACAAAGAATCGTTGGTTAAGTTACAAATATAATGACAGAAAATTAGTCTCCCAAATTGAAGTAATTCTAGATTATTGTGATAACTCGCTAAAGTTTCATTTTGATCTAACGAAACATATCCTTTTTTTAAGATTTGTTAGAAAAATATATTTTATGCTCAATGAACAGATAGGGCATCCATTGACATGTTTTCTTGTTGCGTTTTAACTAACAACGGTTGTTAATGATGTTGCCAAATATTAATTGGACTTTCTGAAAACTTTTTCACTACAGATAATACTTTGGAAGCTGAAGTTGCTATGGCAGTCAGCTAGAGTTTCGCTAATGTATTGATTGGCACAAAATAGAACAAGTTCAACGACAGTGTGCCCTTAATACTAAATAACATAGATAACACCTTTAACTTATAGTTATAAAAAAAACGTATAGTTATTGTGTTATTTTCGAATTCTTAATCAAACACATGTGCAAAAAATTATTCATAATATAAGAAGGTTTTAAAGATTTAGAAACGCAAATCTAGCTGAATTTTTCAAATTTCAAAAAATAATCCGACAAAGTATACCTTGTGAACTATACACCTTGTAGCTTTCTCATACTTCATATTCATTTGCTTTAATTACTTCTTAAGGTTTTCCTATTATGTGTTAAATAAATGTGACACATATATATGCATACTTTATTTTCGTTTTATTTTTATTCTTTTAATGACAAGACAGACACCATCCAGAGAAAGTAGATCTCATTACGTTGTCGCTTCGGATAGATCCGTGGGGGACGTACGTTGAATGAGTTCTCGTATAAATGACGTCATTCTTTTGGACAGAGAGTACAATTATTCCCGTTACTCCTGCGTAGTCACCTCCACCTTGTACGAACGTCGCCCCAACTGGTTGGCTGTTGAGAGTGATTTCAATTGACATATACTCTTGGCCGCCATTATTAGTTACTGTGAATGTGTTCCATGTAAACACATAAACTCCATCCACAGGAGCAGTAAAGATTCCGGAATGTTTGCTGTACCCGTTTCCAATATTGGTCACTTCATGATCATATATAAGTGTATGATGGGCGCTCGGATTATTTTCGTTTCCTGACATGTAGGCATAGAAGGCTACTACAGATTCTGTAGGGGCGGGAACTATTCTACTATCTGTAAAAGTAATGTGATCGATGTAAGTATACAATGATAGAGCATTAAAGGGAATATCCAGCAGTCTGTCTACGATTTCCTTGTATTTGATTCAATAATTATGTTATGTTTTTTTAAATAGAGGACGTTGTCAGGTTCTTGGCAATCTTTCTGAACAAAAACTTTACATGTATGTCATGTCCATGGTATCATTTCTGCTATGCAATATTTAATTAAACCATTGTTTACTTGGGGAAAAGGAGCATATTATTTTTTTCCTGTTCTTGAATTAAATTCAAAATAATCAGGCGTTTAACATTTTTTTTACATTTCTATAGATATATAAAATGCTTCCTATCACTTTGATTTGTTTTGATTGATTCATGGATTGATTATTGTTCAACGTCCCTCTCTCGACAATTTTTCACTCATATATATGGAGACGCCAACTCTTGCCAGTGGAGAGCTGCAAATGTTGTCCCATACTCGGTACTTGGGCCATTGAGAAGGGAGGGGTGTTGCAACCACTATTAAAATAACGACCACAAATGAAATAATTGTATCAATAGTGGTTGAGAGTGAATTTCAATAGCAAACATAGTTAGTAACCACTATTGAAATACAACCACTATTGAAATAATTATATCAATAGTGGTTGAGAGTGCATTTCAATAACAAAGATAGGTAATAACCACTATTGAAATACGACCACTATTGAAATAAGTGGGTGAGAGTGCATTTCAATAACAAACATAGATAGTTAGCACTTTTGAAATACTACTACTATTGAAATAATTATTTCAATACTGGGTGAGATTCATTTCAATAACAAACATAGGTTGCAACCACTATTGAAATAATGTTCACTTTTGAAATAAAAATTTCAGTATGGATTAAATTATTGATTTTAATAGTGCATTGAACAATGAATACAATGTATATTGAAATAATTATTTTAAAAGTTGCTGAGGCGGTGAAATTTTTCTTTCAATTCTGGTAGTATATTTTAATAGTGGTTGAAAGCTATGGTTACCATATTGAAATGCACTCTCACCCACTATTTAATAATTATTTCAGTAGTCCTCGAATTTCAAAAGTGGTTTAAACCTATGGTTAATATATTGAAATGCACTCTCACCCACTATTGAAATAATTATTTCAATAGTGGTCGTTCTTCAATAGTGGTCATTATCTATGTTTGTTATTGAAATGCACTCTCAACAATTATTAATATAGTTATTTCAATAATGGTCGTATTTCATTAGTGGTTACTAACAATGTTTGTTATTGAAATGCACTCTCAACCACTATTGATATAATTATTTCAATAGTGGTCGTTTTTCAATAGTGGTTACTAACTATGTTTACTATTGAAAGCCACCCTCAACCACTATTGATATAATTATTTCAATAGTGGTTGCATTTCAATAGTGGTTACTAACTATGTTTGCTATTGAAATCCACTCTCAACCACTATTGATATAATTATTTCAATAGTGGTTGTTATTTCAATAGTGGTTGCAACAGAGGGGTCTTTTTTGTGTCGGCACCTACTGAGTCACGGGAACTCGGTTTACACGGTTTCATCTGAAGGACTGGTCTTACGTCCCACCTTGGGGTTCAAACCGGCGACGTAAGTATCAACTCTATATTTCGCTACTTTAGAGCAGACACTCTAACCACTGCGCTAAGCGGGCGACTATTTTGTTTGAATTCATTAAATAAATCATTTTTTATAACTTTGAAGGAAGGAATCCCCTTTGTAACCAAAGAGAGGGGAAAAATATGTAATTGTTCATTGATCTCTTAGATTTAATTAAAACGTTAAATAAGAATCGTTACAGAATAAGTTTATTGCATTTTTATTTTTCCTTTATGGTAGAAAAAATTAAGAAACAAATATTTCTTTAAAATCAGTTTCAGATATTGATAAGGTATCATTTTAAAGCATTGATCGGGATGCAAATACATGTAAGTGTTTCTATGAGATCAAATATATCGAAAAACCCGTATGGCATTTAATAATATAAGCTACCGATATTTACATTCAAATAAAAACTTTTAAAACGATATCTTTATATTTCCTATATAAATAGAAGAGTTTTCTATATTCTACGTGTTAGAATAGGTCCTCAGTACCCCCTTGCTTGTCGTAAAAGGCGACTAAATAGGGCGGTCCTTCGAATGAGACAGTATAAATCGAGGCCCCGTGTCACTGCAGGTGTGGCACGATAAAGATCCCTCCCTGCTCAAAGGCCGTAAGTACCGAGCATCTGCCTAAATTTGCAGCCCTTAACCGGTAATGGTGACGTCTCCATATCAGTGAAATAATCTGGAGAGGGACGTTAAACAGTATACAATCAATCGATATATTCTACATACATTTGTTGTTAATATCGACAGATGAACGTTCTTCATGACTGCTCTTCTTTTCTATGCTGGATTCCCGTACACTCCTTTTATCTCTGTTCGCCGGTTGTTCCTTTGAGATCTTTGCAATAAATTCATCCTTTTCCTTAACATCACGTTTTAAAGCAGTTATTTCTTTCTGTTGGACTTCAACCTTTTCATATAAAACTTGAACTAGTCTCTTCAGATCGTCAAACTCCTCTCGAGATACCACGTTTCGGGGATTATTTTCTCCCATTGAAATCCCAAGGATTCCCAAGGAGAGCAGGGAAAACAGTAGGGCTTCGTACATGTATTTCATATCAGGATTCTAGCAGTATGGCTATGTATTGAAAAACGGAGCGGAATATGTTATCTATTGAGAGAACTGTGGAATTGACCTTGTCTAGGTCATCTTATCACATAATAGAACTCTTATCTTTCTGAAATGTATGTAAGGCAATATTATACTTATGATTCATTTTTATTTATTTTTTGTCTCTAAAATTTCATCTGCAAAACTATGTACAAATTGCTTATTTTACAGAATATTACAAAAATCAAATGAATGTTTTGATTTATGGACTTTAAAAAACATGAACATGTATGTTAAATTACGCCAAGGTTTATTTGGAGTGAAAAAGGAATGAAAATTGATAGCTGCATCTTTAAAACGACTATTAAATTATTCATGTAAATTGTGTATTTAAATAAGACCAAACTAATACACTGTAATAAAAGTGTGAAGTTCTTACTTTTATTGGACCATGTTGTATGACTCACATAAATTTTAAAGTGCAACATGTTCTTAAGAAAAATTATCTTTACTGTACATTTTCCACCTTCTTGTTTATTCTTTCTTGACATTTACCACTCAGATATCAAATCATTAATATTAATAACATTAGAAAAAAATGTAGATTGACGAAATCTAAGCGTTTAACAAAGAACACATCATTTCTTTAATTGATAGTCTTTTGTAAAACTACTTGAATCATTCAAATGAAGACGAAATGAAAATCATCTAGTATCTTGTATTCTTTCTTATGTATAGAAACAGTTTAACGGCGGTGTATATAAGAATCAGTCCGCCTACACTGCCTCCAGTTGATCCAGAGAGGATGAGTACGTCTGTAAAATTAAATGATACCAATCAAATGATATCAAAATACGAGTAGATGTTTAAACTACATGTTATAAACTGATTTAGGGTAAAGTCTAGTCTCCATATAAATTTAAAGAGAAATCATATCGCACTTTGAAAGACTTATATTGAGATAATCGTTCATAATATGTCATATTGATAAGCATAGACTACAGAGCTGATGAAATTTCCAAAAACATATATTAGAACCGTTAATTTTTTAACATTTTGACAGTTTGTGATAATATCAATTTTAAATTAGGATTGTTAGGACTATTGCAACTTACAGTTAGTCACTAATTTTCCAAAAACGGTCATCCGGAATTTGACGTTCTCCGTGGAGGTCACATTGGTTTGGGCTTTTATTTGTATCCTCATCATTTCCGTTCCCTCGAGGCACCAAGTGGTAGGAGGACGCACAGTGCAGTTGAAAACCTTTAAAACATATATATTCTTATAATAAATTGCTAATATCAACATATAGTGATTAGAGTGATACATGTTTTTGTGTTGTCAAATTATTATCTTACATAAAACATTGATTTCCTTATATCATGTTAAGGGAAAGGTGTGCGATGCTTGCATAATTAGGTGTAAAATGCAAGGATCTAGAGGAGTCGTGAGGAGATGGACCTTAACCTTATTAAAGTAAGAGTTAGATAAGTTCTATCTATAATAATAACATTGTTCCCCATATATTCGCACCCTCTTAAAATGGAAAGAATACCCACTAATTATCTGAAGAAGATTCACAAGGGAAAGTATCTATATACAGGAAAACATTTAATCAACTCTTCTGACAGATAGACAAATCCCACATGGTTTTTGAGGATTGAAACCTTATGAAAAGGCACCTAATTTTTATAATTGCTTTAAAAAGTTTTTGTTAAAAAAAAAAAAAAACAAGAAATGTTTGTAGAACACTTGTGCCCCCTCCCCCAAATAATAAGAATTTGTGTAAGTTAAAGGAAAATAACTCTGAAGAAAATGGCTCGATCGTGCTCAGAACAAAACCTGACCTAGATATTCATATCATAAATCTCTACACTGTATTTCATTTTAATATGTGCAACTTCTGCAAAGAAATTGAACGGTAACAGCAAATAATTGGAATTTTTTAAGTCCAACGGGCATAACTCTGTCCGAAATACACTTGTAGTCCTTTCGTACCCAAAACAGAACGTGACTAGGATTTATTCTTATGATAAAACTGTATACCAAATCCATTTAAATATAAATCAGTGTGCCCTTCCTTCTTCTAAGGGGACATTAAAATCTGTTTGAGAATATGACCTCCCCCGAGGAAAACTATCTTGTTTTAATAATGCCTCTTAACATGCATTAAATATTCCTTTAAAAAATACGATACCGGTATCACGAATACACATGTATGTATTCCTTGTACCCAACATATAATTACCATTAATTGGTGAAAAAAATTCAAACTACATGTATACATTATTTTACGGTGTGAAATAACAAGGTAAGCTACAAATTTCAACGAGCACCCCAAGTCAACGACAATGCCAAAAAGAAAGCGTGATTCGACGCCATTACCAAGAAGGCGAGCCAAGCGCAACGATGGCGCCCAGACCAGTCAAGGAGATGGTCAAACTGAAACCAGTGGAAGCATGGGACAGCCGTCCTTTAGCTTATCTAATGAGCAGTTGCAGCAGGTGTCAGAAGCTGTAGCAAACATCCTAAGCAAGCAGAGTGGGACAAACCCCCCAATGCCCATAGAGCCACTGGAAACCCCCATGGCCACACGGGAACAGAGTCAAGGTACAGAACCCGTTTTGATAAATGACAATTATCTTGCATTAACGACAAGCTACGACAATGATTTAGGCCATAAAGTATCAAATAAATTAAAACTTAAAATTGTTAATGGCGAGTACATCAATTTGGGCTTGTTGGTTGAAAATTCATATGGGGCCGATCCAAACGATGAGACCAGATATTTTTCTATGAAAGAGGGAAGCCTCACCCTGGCCCCCAAATCTAAAGCAAAGGTAATCAATGACATACAAGTATGGACAGATGCCTTTCTCATTTACGCATCGATATATACCTCAGCCCATCCCGAGAGCAGAGCTCAGTTATTCAAATATATTCATACTATTAGGTTAGGGGCAAATAGAGTTAAGACTCTCGGGTGGCGTGATTACGACATCCAGTTCAGACTGAAGAAGGAGGCTAACCCATCTCTCTCATTTGCTGTTGTCGATCAGGAGCTATGGGTCTTGTATATGTACAGTCCCCCTAGCACCCAGACTTCCTCACATCAGGCCCCCCTTCTAAAGTGTTATATATTCAATTACAAGGGCATATGTAATAAACTTGTATGTCAATACAAGCACGAATGTATGATATGTTCACAAAACCATCCCTACATTAAACATAAGACATCCTCAGGCTCTAGTTTGAATTTTAGGTCAACTGGTCTGCAAGCAACATGGCGGCCTCAGCTACCCAGGAGACCCGCGGCACCAAGTTCAGCTATTAGAGCACCTTATACCCAATCAGCTAGACCTCAGTAATATTGCAGCAAGCCCGATTAACGTACCGAGATTAGGCGATTTATTAGCAAATTACCCACTTGGCTTGGTAGCCTTAGAACTTTTGCAGGGTTTTACATATGGTTTTAGGTTGTGTTATGAAGGGCCTCGAGTGGCCACTGACTGTAATAATCTCAAATCCATGTCTGGGTTACAGTACGAAGCTATTCAGTTGGTCATTAATGAAATCATGTTAGGCAGAGTTGCAGGTCCATTCGATCAGCCCCCTCTACCGAACCTTAGGCTGTCTCCAGTGGGCATGGTACAAAAAAAGGGGGGTTCTTACAGATTGATTCATCACTTGTCTTACCCTACAGGGTCTAGCGTCAATGATTTTATTAGTAAGGAACACTGCTCAGTTAAATACTCGTCATTTGACGATGCATTAGACATGCTTGCAAAATTAGGTCCAGGAGCACAAATTGCTAAATTAGACATAAAAAATGCATTTAGGTTATTGCCAATTCACAGAGCAGATTATGAATTATTAGGTTTTAAAATTCAGGGTATGATATTTGTAGATAAGTGCTTGCCATTTGGATGTTCTGTAAGCTGTTCCAAGTTTGAGAAGTTTTCTACCTTTTTAGAATGGGTACTTAAAAAGCAGGCCAAAAGCAACAATGTGGTTCATTATTTAGATGATTTCTTGGTAGCAGGTAGGGATGGTAGCCAAGATTGTGCTAGGCTTATGTCGGTTTTTAGTTCCATTTGTCATGAGCTGGGCATCCCCTTAGCGCACGAAAAAACTGTGGGGCCTACAAATATTTTGATTTTTTTGGGGCTAGAAATTAACACTCGAGAAATGACAATTAGCATACCATCAGACAAATTGGGACAGCTTAAGGACCAGTTAACGTATACATTATCCAAAAAGAAGGTTACATTGAAAGAGCTTCAGGCTCTTACAGGGCTACTGAATTTTTGTATAAGGGCTATCCCAGCTGGTAGGGCTTTTGTTAGAAGGCTTTATGATGCTACTTGTGGGCTGTCAGAGCCACATCACAAACGCAGGGTCAATTTAGAAATGAGGGCAGATATTAAAACTTGGCTACTGTTCTTAGAATGTTTCAACGGAGTCACTTCTTACAGAACTGTAGATTGGTCAAATGATTTTGACATGGAGTTGTTTACTGATAGTGCAGGGAACACTGAGTTAGGTTGTGGTGCTATTTTAGGTAAGCAATGGGCATTTATGCAATGGCCATCACAGTGGAAAGGGCTAGAGATCATTAAAGACATTACATTTTTAGAATTAGTACCAATAGCTATGGCTTTCGAAATCTGGGGGGGAAAATTGGCTGGCAAAAAAGTTATTCTTCACACTGACAACCAGGCTCTGGTATCAATTCTTAATTCTAAGACATCAAAATCAAAAAGGGTCATGCGTTTGCTCAGAAAGTTAGTTCTTCAGGGGTTAGTGCATAACATCCAGTTTAAGGCAACTCATATCATAGGCCTGCATAATATCAAAGCAGATTCTATCTCTCGACAGCAATGGTCACGTTTCCGAGCCAGCTTCCCAGAGGCAGAGGATCACCCAACATTAATACCCTGGTCATTTCGGCAAGTGATCTGCGACATAGAGCTCATGAGCTCTTAAGCTATTCCATCTCTGACAGTACAAAGAAGTTGTATAACACTGCATTAAATGTATTCAATGATTTTCGCAAGCATTATTTTGACACAGAAGAGTGGCCTCCCCATTACAATCAATTAGTCGATTTTGTCTCCTATCTATCGTATAAGCAGTATTCCCCAAACACGGTTAAGTCGTACATTTCTGGGATATCTTATTTTTGTAAACTTCACAACCTTTCTGATCCAACACAATCATTCTTACTCAGAAAAACCCTGGTAGGGCTGGGCAGAAAAAATGTCCAGGTTGATGAACGTAAACTGGTCACTTTAACAATTTTGTCCAGCATCCTTAAGTTACTGCCCACAATATGCAAATCTCATTATGAAACGATGCTGTTCTCAACCATATTCTCAACAGCCTTTTTTGGTTATTTCAGAATGGGGGAGCTGGTTCAAAATTCAGTGCATGACCCTGGTCATGCTATTCAAGCCGGGGATGTAACCTATCACAAACAGACCAATAAAATCCTCATTGTCCTTAAACACTCCAAAACTGATCAAGAGGGGAGGGGGGCAACAATTTCACTAACAGCCACTTTACAGGCAGTATGCCCAGTGCGCTTAGATTTATCATTTATGCAACTAAGACCTAGCATCCCTTCAGCATTTTTTTGCCACATCTCAGGTAGTCCAGTGACAAGGTATCAGGTGTCAGCTGTTTTCAATATGGCCTTAGACAAATTGGGGTTAAGCAAGCAAACTTATAAAACTCACTCCTTCCGCATAGGCGCAGCCTCAACTGCCTGGACTAATGGGGCCAGTGAAAAAGACATTGCTAGTAAGGGCAGATGGAAATCTCAGTGTCTGTACAAGTACATAAGGAATTAATATGTTCATAACTCGCTAATTTTTCTGTTGTCAAATCTTTGTAGGTGTAAAGAGAATATGGATCATTGGGTCCTCCATTGTTAAACATGCATTTTATTATGCCAGAAAATCAGTATTTGGCACCAACTTAGAATTAGACCGGCACAATGCTACCATATTCTGGCAAGGCAAAGGGGGTATGAAGGTGGAGGACATCTTACCCAAAATTAGAACATTACTCAAGGTAGAAAATGCTCCTCACATGTTAGTTATTCATTGCGGGGGAAATAACATTCCATGGTATAGTGGGGGTAAGTCAGCTGATCTACGTTTCAGATTAAAAGAAATATTACAAAAATTAGAAAAATTGCTACCATCAACTTTGCTTATATGGTCACAAATACTGCCACGTCTTCATTGGAGGGGGGGGAATCAACCAGTCTGCTATGGAGAGAATAAGAGTCAGAGTAAATAGCCATGTGGCTACTCACTTGTTAAGGTCTGGGGGGAAGTACATCAGGTACCCAGAGTTACATAGGATCAACACAGGCATGTTTTCTAAAGATAAGATTCACCTTTCTGAGATGGGTAATAACTTGTTTTTTTATAGGTTGCAACAGGCTTTGCAAGTGTTTTTGATTAATAACTCAGTTCACGTGTCCCCAAGAGATGGGGAAATTGGGCCATGGCTGCGCCATGACTAAGATTTTAGTCATGGTAACTATTTTATTTACTGTCAATAGACTATTGAGGGTCTATTTATTTGTATTGTCATGCACCAAGTCAATTTTTGCTCTTGCTCATAGACTGTTGAGAGTCTATGTATTTGTATTGACACAGTTTCTTATTTTTCTGGTCATTTTATTTTAACAAATATTGATTATTGTCATAAATTACAATATTTGAGGACATAAACATGAGTTATGCAATCACCAATTTTAAAAATTTCAATCCCCCCCTTTTTCCCCCTGCCGTCTGACCCTACTGGTGGCGCAGCCAATGCTCAAAGCATAGGCTCGTGGCGGATATTTGGCTCACCAGTAGTGCCTAACCTTGATTCTTAATATATGACTTGGTGCAAAATTGATTGAATTTTGCAATTATTGTCCAAGCAGGCGAGCATCTGTTCCCAGGGCTCTCCATTATGCTTGTTTTATTTGTGGGGACGCCACCAAGGCAAGAATTGATGCTGGGCTCCCTTATTTGTTTTAATGCAGCCGTGGCCTATATCGCCAAATAAATATAAATAATTAAATAGAAGTTTTTTGTTATCTTTGGTATAAAGGCCCAAGGTAAGGGCATCTTTTGATAATTGGTGAAAAAAATTCAAACTACATGTATACATTATTTTACGGTGTGAAATAACAAAGTAAGCTACAAACTCTTGTTTCTGCTGGTGTCGTAATGTATCCAAACCATATAGCACAGTCAGGATCGTCATACTGGAGTAGAGATACACAGACTCTGTACTCATTGATCAGGGAAGAGTCTCCGCCATAGAATTTCATCATGTTACACAACAAATAATCAATCGGTGAACCGTCATATGTCACGTGATATATTGTTGTGTCGCTTACTGCTCGCTTACTGGATTCACATGCATCTTTTTCAAATGACACTTGAAAAAAAAGAGATTGCCTATAGAAAGGTAGCAATAATTTGAAAAAAATAATAAATCAGAGAAATAGTTTTTTCCATATACTGTAAATCATTTTTTATTCCCGACGTCATTTTCGCGTTGAACTTTAAGCGATACAGTGAGCTCGCGAAAATTTCATTTTCGCGTATATTAGTCATCCGTTTGATTTTAGAAAATGTAGTGATCTACTGTACATTGAATCTCCAGCATAAGAAATCATAAAATAAATTTTAATATAAGTTTACATATAAGGAATGGATATGGAAATTAAAACTTGCAAGAGAGTGTGGGAGAGGGTATAAACTTCAAAGATAAATAATGGTGTATCCAAGCACATGATATCTAATCGATTAAGAGGGTTTTGTGACTCACCTGTGATATTGGTCAGTGCATAACAAAGGTCCACAAGTAGTATACTTGAGATAAATGAAAGCTTTGCGACCAGCATGGAGAGATTTATTTCCCAAATGTTCCTTAAATTTTGATAAAATCGGTTTACAGAGTTCAGTTACAACATGTTGAGTGCTTACCATTCTATATCTTCTAATACGAGTAATATTCTCCATTTAATAATTCTTTATATGATAATTATAAATAATACATATTAAATAAGAAATAAATAATAAACAAAAACATAATGTCAATAAAAGAAGTACTTACTTTGTCTTAATGCACTATGTTTTTTTCAAACACGAAACGCAGGAAAATATCGCCGTAATTAAGGAAAATGATGAAAAATATTTTTAAGCCGAAGTAAATGACCTTTTTTCTTGTCTTTTGTTAATATTAGCTACAATATGCTGAAACTAATGAAACATTTTTTAAGAAACGTGATCAGAAGCTTTTTTAATACATTTTACCTCGAAAATCGCTTTTATTGTCAATAAAAAAAAATCTGGTTTCAGTTTATTGCAACTAAGCTTGTAATACTGCCTTATTCTCTGATATCATTCAGTCACTGTTATTGAAATAAAGTCACAAAGGATCAGTTCGTTTATTGTAATGAAGAGTTCTGTTTCAGCTTAATATGCATATCTGCTTTTAATTATAGAGTTTATATGAAAAGGTTGAAGAATTAAAGAAAGCTTAAAGCTGACTATTTCTTTTTTAAGGTCTTTTAGAATGTTCCATTTCTTTAATATAGCAGAAAAAAGACAAAGTTTTGTTCAGTCTCATGCGCTAGGGTTGAAGGTAGTTTATTTACGTAAATTTCACTTTAACGTCAAACACTTTCACAAAAAACTTTATTCGGTAGTGACCAATATTTGCCCCCAAAATCAAACTTTGACGGAATAAAAATTGATTATGTTTTATATCAGGGGGATTCATGCTGACTTCAAAGCACTGAATGTTTTCGTCAGCAATGACGTCATATGTTTGAAATGATGTCAGAAAAATTATGTAAATCTAAAATTTCCATAATTTTTATAGAAAAAATGTTAAAATTGCGTCAATATTTTGAGTAAAAATCACCGAGCGCAGGTGTGTTCAGGCTCAATATTTTGATATAATGTGTAGAATAATAATATCAATTAAATATGCAAATATTGTTCCTGAACAGACATGCGCTCTATAAATTCTATAAATAAAATTGTTGAAATTTTGTCCATTTTGTCCTTTTTCTGAAAAATAATGCAAAATCCGACGAGTTTGTGACGTCAAAAAATAAAAAAAATTGTCAATAACCTACTTTGAAAGTATATTATGTTTTGTTTATTTATATTTTTCATACAATTTATACAATACAACACATTTTAAGAACTTTTCAAAATATAATTTTTGTGGGGGCAAATATATGCGAAATACCGAATATAGTTCTTTACAAGAGTTAACTAAAAAATTACTACAAAACTTTACTCTTGTACTTTTTTGATCATTTAGTACCATTATCTATCGTAAATTACATTTCAATGAGAATTTTTTTTTATAAAGTATGTAAATAGTTATACAAGAAATAGTTCATTTTAAGATTAAAATTTACTTGCAGGAAGTTAAAAAAATACATCTAAAGTTCATAATGAAAAAAATTTGATTTACTATAATAATAATAGTTATCTATAGTTAACGGCAATATTTTTTTCGGTAGGGTTAAGCTAATAAAGAAAAAATAATAGAGTCACATTGTGTTTTGATTTTCTTCTTTTGGGCAAGTACTAATATCCTTCCAACGTTCTCGGATTTAGGTTCCTAAATATGTACATGTATGCACATATTGATAAAATGTACTTATTAAAAGCTTAAGGCATATGGAGCCTATACTGTTATCTTTCTACCTTACTGATTACATATCAATAGGAACATACATAATTACACACCAGTGCCAAAGTATTTGTGGTCATATAAAACAAAAGACGATATTAAAACCTTAGTTTTCGCTTTAATACGGGGACAGCATAAAAAAAACATGGAACAGAAACAAAATCAATTGATTAAACACGTTTAAGAATATATTCTTTTAGTATAATGTATTACTATTATTCTAGATCTCAATCTATAAATATTGATGAACAGTTATCATAAGGTGAAGAAGAACATTTGAAAGGTATACACATGAATGCTGGTTTAAGTCAATTTTGTTATAAATATTTTCAGTGGTCATTGCATGGTCATTTGCAAAACCATTTTTTTAAAACACATTCCGTCTGCACATACATGAACTCTGAAGTTGACATTAAAAAGAAGCTTGAGTTTCTGATTGACAATGCCTATGTAGTATTTGGGAGAAGGTCTTCAAACAATCTATTTGAAATCCCATGGGTACGTATACCAATTGGGCTCCAATATAAGCAGACCTATTTTTGTATTCATATGAAGCAGAAATTGTGCAAAATCTTATGCGTGAATAGAGGAAAACACTTGCTGTGGCCTTCAATTCGTCATTTAGATACATTTGTATATCGACGACAAATTGTCAATTATCAATACGATATATCCTGGTGAGCTTGAGACAAAAGATACCACAGAGTCTGACACATCTGTTTCATACTCACTGTATACAAAGTGCTAATTGAAAATTTACTTGATTTGGGTCACTTGCTATATTGCTTTGGGTACTCTGATGCATTATGGGTAAAAAAGAAAATTCTGCAGGCAAAATATGGGTAAAAGTAACATTAAGAAATTAGAAAACTTATTAAACCTTTATAGAATCAATGTAAATTTAATTGACAAAGTTTTTAAGTTGAAACAAGTTAAAAATTCGATACCATTCTCATTTACTAAGTTAAAATGGGATTTTTGCTCATTTTGCATTATTTCAATTGTTCTTAATTTTTTCAAACTATATTCTGTTGTAAAAGTTAGTGTATCTTAGTTTTCGCCTCAATTCACCCACGAAACATCATCTGATTTCTATAAATTACGCTTTTTAGAGAAATTGGGCTATTCTTGTTTTGAGTGAATGCTATACTATGTTTGCAACATATTTTTGCGATGGCTATACTTTTTTCGGATCCTTTTTGTGATTTGCATGAAATTAAGATTTATTGTTTTTTGTTAAAATTATCGCGATTTAAACAGTTTTGAAATAGGTATTGGCATTTATTATCACAAGAGAAAATTTATCAGTCGAAAGAAGTGAACCAGAAATAAATAGATATAGAATTTGATGAAATATGCTATCATTGCTGGTGTTTGTGCGATACTTGATTTGCGTTTTGTCACGATTGATACAGAAATGATATGATTTATTTGAGTAGAATAATTCTTGAAGAATGAAGCCGTATATAGTGGGAGTATAATCCAAAGACACTGTCTCGAGTTTATGTCATTAAATACTTTAAATACTTAGTAAGTTATTGATAAATACACGTAATATATTTCTACTTATGTTTTAAAGGTATGTATAACGGAAAAAAGGGCTTCACAAACTAATCGAATTTTTTCCAAAGCTCATGATAGGCGTAAGACTGAATGCGTTAACCACAATATGCTACGGTGTCTTCGTGTTGTTTGTGTGTCAGTTTGCTTAAAAAGAAACGAATTTGTTGAGACAAATAAGGTTTTTCAACCTATCCTTTAATTTATTTTGGTTCGTTTTGTTTTGGCTTACTTCTCTCACCCAACACTTAGACTTTTGTTTTTATACTAAATTTGATTACGAAATGTTCCATTCACTTGATCAATACATAGGGCTCACAGCGTGTGTGACCGATCAACAAGGGATGCTTACTGCTCTAGGTACCGTTCTAATCTCTGGATCTTTGGTATTCCGGGGGGGGGGGGGTCTGTATTTATGCCCTGCGCACATGTTCGTATTGTTTGCATATTTTTCGACATAAATTAATGCTCATTATCCTCACTTTTTTCATTTCAGAAATATTCAACTTTTAGATAGAATGGGTTCAGACGCCATTAAAAAAACACAATGCATTTACTAGAATACCTGGTCCGTTCATATTTAAAAATAAATCTTTATAGCTAGAATCATTTAATATAAACGTGCCCATTTTCGACTAAATAAGTCTAAAAACAATTTTCAATCAATATGCCTTTCAGGACAATATATGAATCTAATATGTTGAAGATGATATTACCGACAACATAATTTTAGAAAAATAAAACTTTTCCGTCATAGAGCGAGTGATTGTCCTCGCCTTGTACACTTTTTTCTCTCTTTTATAAATCTATGATAAAGAGATTATAACGCAACTTATGTTATATTTAACCTATTTTCACACTATCATCAGACATCAGAACTTAAAACTAAGAATCTGAAACAGAATCTATGAATATAAAAGTTAATTAAAATTTGGCATTATATCCCCATAGACAGATCCAAAAAAGCGGATAAAGGTTAGGGGATCAAGAGCTGATAATTTTATCAAATTCACTAAAATTTAAGAATATTAAAGAAACCATATCAAAATAACTCCCCACCCCCCTCCCTCCCTCCTTCCCAAGAAACACAAACTCTTAACAGTCAGTCTACGCTAAAAGAATATAGTTACCGAAGTTCACTGATTTTCAGGGATATGTTACGATTTCTATGAAAAAAGATCCATGCATTTCTTTGAGAAATGTGGTAACTATTTGTTTTCTTTTTATTACATGCAATCTCTTCTTAACGCTTATTTTGCTGAATTGAAATTAGTACATGAACGAAGCGGCATTAAGATTTGAAGTTGAATGCGTTCTAATTACTAGTAATCATTAAATTATCAAATCAAAACTTTGAATGCATATATATATACCACTAAATATTTACAATACCATGAGTATATGTAAAGTCTAAGAGTTGAAATCTATCTTTAAAATTTTACAATATTACATGTTTACTGGTAAGCAACATGAAAATTCTTAACTTAGTATGTTTTTGTTGATGAATGAATGTCGTAAGTTGATAGGAAAAATGAGAATATATATGGAAGAATGTAGCTTGTCCACCAATTAAGCCGACCCCATCCCTAACCATAAAATAGGATTTTTGTGTTGGGATCTTTTAGTGTTATGGACAACAATGTAACCCCCTCCCGTTTCCCGAAGAAATTTATGCTTGAGAAAAATCCTTTATTCCGGAATGAAAAAATGGAACTAAACATATAAATTAACGAAATACAAACGTCATTACAATTGCTTCCATTAGAAATTAAAAAAAATGTTACGAAAGGTTCAAAATGTTATAGATAGGGGTATAATTTATTTTATTAAAAGAAAAATAAGTAACGTCAGGTACCTGTGTGTTTGTACTCTCTTAAGTAACTTACCAAGAGGCCACACTACTTTTTCTAAAATTTATATAAATACATATGTATCACACTCACCGATTGAGCATAAAATGCTCAAGGTGAGCATATGACACATGGACCTCCTACGGACTGGGCCATTGTTGAAATGTAAGAGGAGTCTTGGGAAGAAAATATTGTACAGTACTGTTGTAAACACAAAGTAACGTCAATAAATTATTTTACTAATTGCACCAGGCCTAAATGCTATATGTATACTCGAAAAAAGTATAGCTGTCATGACAACAAAGATAGCTTTCTGGATATTTTCTACGCAAACATAATATAGCGCTGGAAAAGTTGGGTAGGTGCATATTTGATGTAATTGCCAGGTTATAAAGAAGACCTTGTGGTCGAATTTGATAGCTTACGTTTGATAAAGAATCATATTAAACATTACAATAAATGTTTTATTGAAATAATGTCAACAGTCCATTCCAGAGGATGATTAGTCGAAAAATGACCATTAGATGCGTGAAAAACGAGTGCTTTCAATGTTTATGGAGGGGTAGACTAAACAAAAATATGAATATCTTTAAATATACCAAGAAGAAGTCTCATATTGTTTGAAGTAGTTTTATTATCAGTAAGAAAACGTATATAAAAGCACATTTTTTGTCTAAATGTGCAGACAGAAACTTCGAAGGACCCAAACAAATATAGCTAGTGATCCAAATCAAGTAGATTTTCGATTAGCACTTTGTATACAGTGATACTTGGACATTTTACTTGAAGAAGACGTTAATGGTAATCTAACAACCAAGCTCTATGATAAATGTGATGACTTTAAGTTTTCTATCGTCAACTTCCCTTACTCATGCAGCAATATAGCTTCATCACCTGCATACTGAGTTTATATATCTCATTTGATTCGATATGCAAGAGCATGTTCTACGTTTGAACAATATCTAAAACGAGGTAAATTATTGAGAAACAACTCGATGAAACAAGAATATCAGCAATCTCGTTTTAAGTCATCATTTCGTAAGTTCTGTGGTGGATACACGTACAATGACCTTGTGAGCAAAAGCAGTTTATCATCGAGTCAAATGCTGACTGACGTTTTTCATACCAATTGTTATTCCCTTGTTAATACAGTGAATTGAAGATGGATAATGCCGTTATTTCCTGATCATGACAAGAAGCACACGGCGGGTGTGACCGGTCAGCAATGGATGCTCTCTCCTCCATGGCACCTGATCCCATCTCTGATGTTTTGGATGTCCATGTTTGCTCTGCTCCTATTTTGTATTGTTTTATGGACTTTGATATTGAAAACTGTTCGTTATCTCCATATCCATCATTTCATAAAATAAATCTCTCTCTCTCTCTCTCTCTCTCTCTCTCTCTCTCTCTCTCTCTCTCTCTCTCTCAAGAAAATATCTTTCTCAAAAAAAAAAATTCAGTAAACGAAAAATTTACAATGAAGAAAGGGAAATCCAAAATAATGAGTTTTCTCCTAACAAAAACGTATTAGGTTTATAAAAAAACATATAAAAATTCAAAAACATAAGTGCTATAATAAGCACTGAAAGATGTTTTAATTAGCTACTCATGCATTCAAGTTACTATTACCTTTCACTCTGTTACTTAAAAAAAAGTACTAACTAAAATATATTAACAACATATGCACATTCCTTGAGTTGGAGTATACAATGTTCGCCTTTGGTTTTCTAAGAATAATGCTTCTTAAAGTCACTCATGGCCAAAATTCGAGTTTTCGTAGATTTCACACTCTGAAATTATTGTATTTAATTTATTATGAAAATATGTTTTTTCTTTTTTATAGCATTTATTGATAATAAAAATCTCAAACAGTTTTTTTTATAACTTGCAATCTTTTCTGTAGTAAATATAAACACTTAAAATTGTGAAATGCTTGGTATATTTATTAAATTTTTTTTTTCTTCACTCTATATTAAACTAAACTTATGCGTGCAATTTTGTTACCAATAAAAATGACATTAATATTTTTGAAATTCAGTTTCCATAAAAACGTAAACTACCTGTTTCGTATGCTTCTTTCTTCTTGGTATTTTGATATCTGCTTTTTATCTGTCTAACACTTACAATAAGTATTATTATAAGCACCAAACCTGACCCACTTGCTGCTAAAATTGTCCAGATTAATTCCATTTCTAAAATTCAATATAAATGCAGAGAATGAAATGTGTATTACTTAGTAGTATATATAAATGTAGAGTATGATAAATTTATTACTTACTAGTATAAAATATGTAAATATTGTCTTTCATTTACCTAGAATTTACAATTGTTTACGATTTTAAGACTAATAAATAAGGTGTGTACTCATACATGTAAAACAATTGAAAATTTCTAAAATGCAATATAAACGTAGAACATGGCAAATGTATTATTCATATAATACTTTTAGCTCTCTGTGGTCAGCTACTAGGTTGAAGCTGTGAATATTTACTTTACTAATTTAGAATTTTCAGTTGTTTACGAATGCATGACTAATGAATAAGCTGTATGCTCATAAAAAAAATTAAATCTGTTAATTACTAGAAAAAAAATATCACATAATGCGGTCTCTCGCTGGTAGCGTTAACGATAGAACTATATCAAATGAGAGAAAATATACACATGCCTTAATAGGTATTTGCCAACTTACATTCGGAAAATATTAGTCAGAGGTTTATAATATAATAGATATTTTATTGTTTTATTTTGTGTGATTTATATCGCTTTTAAAAGATTTCTAAACAAAATCCATTGTTCATAAGACGGTAAACTAAACAACCCTTTTTTCTATAAATAATATCTCTCAGCTTTATCAGACTTTATAATGTAGCACTTATTCTTATTTATCTTCGATTCTCATAAAATGCTTAGAATTTAACTTTGACTTCATTGCTTTGACTTGAATTGAAGCGATTATTCATTTATTTGTCTCATGGAATATGTATCCTGTGATTTCGTTGTTTGTGTACTTCTGAGAAATAAAATAAAATATATTTCTTCACAAAAATCAAAGTATGGATTTAAAAAGTATAGAATTCTTTCATCTGTACTCACTATCTGCAGTCAAATGTGCCATAACCTTGAAAAGAAAAGACGAATTCCTTGAAGACTTTTCCACCGATATAGGTTCGATGTGGATTTTCAAAGAGTTGTCGTAACAGATAGGTGTGGGTGGGTTGTGCGTACAATTGAAATCCTGTAATTATTTTATAAATGGGTTGAACTCCACAAACAAGAATGATTTTCCGTCTTTTTTTTAACCTTCTGAGAATAAAACATTTGAAAAAAAATTAAAAATCACTAATCTAAGTTGCTATGGCACTACCAATATCTATAAAAATACTTTTTCTCTATATCTTCATCGTATAAAATTTTGATATCAATTTTTGGTCACTCAAAACCTACATTTACATCAATGAAAAAATTGAATTCATATACTGCGTAACCTAGTGATGGTTCCATATAAGGATCCGATGTAAATATAAATACCCATGTCAATGTTGCGCCTGAGAAAATTCCTCGAGAAATTCCTGCGTAAATTTTTAATCGTATTGTGTGAGAAAATCTGGATCAGAGTTTCATCAAACTTGAATTTGCTTCATGTGTTGGATCAATCTTATTAAAATTAGATCCTCTGCGCTCCTTTATTTAACAAAATACAGGATAGTCAAGGATCTAATTTTAATTAGATTGGTGTTGAATAATATGCTTCCCCGTAAATATCAGAATGATGGGTTCTAGTTTGCTCTTCTTTCAAAGAAGTTTCTTTAACGATTTTTTTCTTTATATTTCTATTTAAAACCGTAATCACCCAATTATTTCGTTTAGTAGTTAATGAGAATAAGAGTCATTTAGTTCTTCGATTTCGAAATTGAAACGTTTATAAACGACAGACAAACAATTCATCCTTAAGTTTAATCAGAAAAGCTCATTAAGTTTCGGCTCAGGTGAGCTTAATATAGAATTACTATTTATTTATCTCTTCTATGTATTAGGGGTTTGTTTTCTAAAATTATTAATGATTACAAATGAATATTTTATACAGATTTATTTTCGCCCTATTTCATTTTCGCCCTTTCACACTTGCAGACAAGTTTGCTCTGTTTTAAATTTGCCCATTCATATTTTTGTAATTATACCGTACGCTTTGAATTCGTCCCGTTTTAAGTTTGCCCAAATAAGGCTAGGATGAAGGGGGCGAAATAAAACAGGAGTGAAAATTTCCATGTTTACAGAATTTCAGATTAATTTATATGAACATGCAATAGAAATGATTACCAAAATATATCAATAAGGTATTACCCTAGCAAACTTTGAGGAACTAGTCAATCCTACTAGAATGGCGCAGTCAGGGTCATGATACCTGATGGTCTCCATACAAATCTGGTAAGCTTTGAGATTTTTCGAATCTCGTCCCAGAAAATTCATGAAGTAACATAAAGAATCTATAACGCCTCCGTTATACGATATAAAGAACTCTGTATGCTCATCAATCCGTATGTCGCCTTTACATTTGTATTCTTCAAAGGAATCTAAGGGAAAATGAAAATTAAAACCAAAAAATAGGAAATAAATGAAACCAAAAATAACCAGAAAAAATTCATCAGTAAAACATAAAATAACAAATCACGTCTGTGTCTAAAATACTGATTATTAAATATATAGTTAAAAGTGATTTGTATTAATTAAACATATTTAGGACAGATGATGCAGTCAAACAATATTTTTGTTCTTTGAAGGAGATTGATTGATTGTATATTGTTTAACGTCCCTCTCGAGAATTTTTCACTCATATGGAGACGTCGGCGTATGCCGGTGAAGGGCTTCAAATTTTGACCTTTTCTCGGCACTCAGGGCCATTGAGCAGTGAGGGATCTTTATCGTGCAAGCGCCTGTCGCTTACACGGGGCCTCGGTTTTTAAGGTCTCATCCGAAGGACCCGCAACTTTCACTTCAAAATGCCGAGCGCATGGCGAAAGAACAGATGCTACCCATTTTATCGACTGGGTCAGATACGAACTCACGACCTCCCGATCACGGGGCGAGCGCTCTACCGACTGAGCTACCGTGAACGGTCTCTTTGAAGGAGAGATACTTGGTATTATCATCTCACAGGCCTAGAAAAGTGGAAAATATCTTGAGTTTTTTCTCCTTAGATTTGGAAAATAAAATAGACTTGTAAAATATTAGTTAATGTTTCAATACAATTGTAATATAAACTTTAGATAAATATTCCAAAGCCGGATGAATTTCATTTGGAAAAGAAAAATGGTATAAATCAGCCTAATATATGTGATTTTTTATCATTTTGTTTTTCCTTATAAATTCACCTGGCTTTACATATTTTTATATAAGTTTATATAACACTTTTAGCACCAAGCTGACATGTTCTTAAATTTGTTTCCATTTCCATCTGTAAACCTTTACTGATTGTGATTCGTCCATAATTTCAATTTTAAGGAAGTATTAACTAATATTTTACAAGACTAGTCTATTTCATTTTCCAAGTCTTAGGAGAAAAAATTCAAAGAATTATCCACTTTTCTAAATTGTTTGTATCATCTGTCCTTAAGATACATGTACATATCTTAAGTTAACATGCATTTTGCCGAAGCATCTTTTTTTTTTTCATTGGCCTTATTTGATTGTCAAATTTTGACGTTTGTTTACAAAGGTATTCGCTTGATATCTATAGAGCAATGAAATATCATCACATATCTGTGCCATAGGCGCTTTTAAAAAATGTCATATTTACTGTATATACTCTTTTTATATACAGTGAATATGACAATTTTAAAACGTGCTAATTTCGGCGAATTTTTATTTTTATTTTGATGAGGGTATTCAGGCACACCTAGAAAAACACATAATACACAAAATATAGCATCCTGTAACCAACGGCATACATGTAGTCATGTATCTATAAGTTGCTTTTAAATAAGACGAGGACACGTTTAACATTTTACTTACAATTGAGAGTCTGTGTTCCAGTGACACAAAATAAACCACTCATATATGTAGAAATTCCCAATATAAAAACACTTTTCATCCTGAAAGCTTAGTTTGTGTATTAGTACCTTTATTGGATGTTCTTGTTTTTGATTTACGCAGTGAACAATTTAAATGATCAATATCAAAGATGATACTCTCTCTCTCTCTCTCTCTGTGTGTGTGTGTGTGTGTCTCTCTCTTAAGCTTGAGATAGAAATTATCTTAAATAAAATGTAACTCCTCTTCAGTCTGACTAAAGCCAGCCCCTACTATATCACTTCGTTACTAACGAAGTGATATAGTAGGGGCTGGCTTTAGTCAGACTGATTCCTCTTCATAATAAAGGCATTTTCTGACTATCATCTCCTACTTTTTTGGCATTCGAAAGGTATGGATAAAAGCAATAAACCATTTATATTTTGACGAATTTCTGGTGTATGTTCCATGAAGTCATTGGTTATACTTCTTTTTTAATTTTTGTGTATAAATCATGTAAATTATTATACAGAAAACGGCCAATAAAACACACTTTACAAATTATTCGTTATGCAATTTCAATTTTTTAAAGAATCAATTTTTAGGGTTTTTCAATCAGATAAAGATTTCCGTTTCCAAGTATTTTACTGGTTTTGTCAAAATTCAATGCATTTCTGTTGGAGCACCTAAAAGCTAAATAAATGTTCATCTAACAAAGAGTCATGAAGTGTTTATAGACTATTGTCATTAAAAAAAACCATATGAGGAACAATTATAATGAATTCAAACATTTTTATTAAACATTTTTTTAAAAGGTATTATTATACAGAGTGGGTTAAACTGTATCCCACATGTAGGGTATGAAGTTCTTGACTGATGCGATAAATTATTACCGTGTTGTCAGATTTTACAAAATTTATAAGGAACATAAGGCAATAAAATTATAAATTGCTAAAAATGTAAGCTTGATACATATTTTCATTTCCTAACTAATTATTTTAAATAAAAAAGAAATTTTATGATCACACTAAGCTGTAAATTTAAGATTCATTACGAACGACATCATTGTTTCCTAATCTCAGCTCGCTGTTCAAGTGCCTCGTTTCACGTATCTTGATGGGATTCCATAAAACTAAGTATAGACGTTTATTGTTGAAATTTTAATGTCATGAACAGCTAATTTCAAAGCAAATTATTGTTTATTGATGTATAAATATGGAAATATACTAACTTGGATAAATCATCACATTTTCTTTATTTTCAATAACGGCACTTTTCTGTAATTGATAAGTAACTTTAGAGTTTCGGGAAAAAAAGTCGACATTTACTTCTCTCCTTTCACTAGGTATCTTCAGCTTTTCAAAACAAATACCCTAGATACAATTTACATCTCTGTGATCTGTTAAAACATTCCCTAAAAATATTTCTCACGAGATCATCCAATGATAAGCAATTTAATTCAATGAAGTTGGATGACGCATTTGTTCCTTGAAATCTGCAATTTTTACTTCACTCTCAAATTTCTATGAAATCGTAAATTTTTGATAGAGTGTCCAAAAAATAACATTTTGGCGACTCAAGAAGGACGCCAGAATAAGGTTTTCTTTCTTAACCTTAAAGAAAGTTTCTCTCAGTCCTACAAATAATTGTCTATGCTTTTGAGATTTTTACATAGAATACAAAAAAAAAACTCTCTAAATAATGTTCTTTAGATAAAGAAAAAAAATTACCTTATTCTTTTTCTGATAATTACATGTACATGGGATATTGAAACAGCTGAAATCATTAACATGTGACATTTTTTATTATTGTTCTTTTTTTTAAATTACGCAAGATACATCGCAAATTATTATGTAACTTTTTTATCTATCGGAAATATTTGAATGAAGTTTTATTTTTCTTCTGAAAACAAACAAAAAAATAATAATAATTTTTCTATTGTCATGTTACTCATGTAAAGTTTATGTCAATGAATATGCAAATTTTGAATTCCATTTTGAGACCAATCAATTGTCATTGTTAGCTGTTTACAGTCCACAGAACAAAAGAGTTGTCCATCTTTAAGGAGGAACTGTTGGTTAATTAGGTTACGCCCACATCCATGACAACTAAAACAATGTGGACAGGCATGCCAGTGGTATTCCCCGTGAGAAAGTCCGGGAGAATCTGCCGTTATAGTTCTCCGACAGGTTTTACATGTCTGAAAGATAAAACAATTAAAATGTATTAAAATGAAAGAAAAAGTTAGCAAGCTCACATACCTCACGCTCCCCCAAAACTCAAAGTGCTGAAAATCGCGGATAAAATGAAACAATCAGAATTTCCCAGTAATATGCACATGTACAAATTGTGTCCTAAATATCTGCAAAGTTGCTGAAATTCTTCTTTGTGGTTTATGAGGAGTTGCGCTGACAAACTGTTCACCACTATATTCAAGATATCACCAAAAATCTAAGTTGTAAAGTGTCGAAATTCCCAGAAAGATAAAGGAATCGGAATTTCCTGGTAAAATGCACATCTTTACATTGTGTCCTAAATATCTGCAAAGTCTGACGAAATTCTGTGCTGCTGTTTATGAGCGGTCGCGCTGACAAAATATTCATCTGTATGTTCAAGGTATAGCCAAAAATCTAATTTGAAAAGTGTAAAATTCCCAGAAAAATAAAGAAATCAGAATTTCCTGGTACTATGTACATCTACACACTGTGTCCTAAATATCTGCAAAGTTTGATGAAAATCTGTGCAGTGGTTTATGAGGAGTTGCGCTGACAAAATATATATACATCTCTATAATTAAGGTATGGCCACAAATCTAAGTTAAAAAGTGTGGAAATTCCCGGAAAAAAATAAAGGAATCGGAATTTCCTGGTAATATGCACATCTACACATTGTGTCCTAAATATCTGCAAAGTCTGACGAGATTCTGTGCAGCGGTTTATGAGGAGTTGTGCTGACAAAATGTTCATCTCCAGATTCAAGGTATGGCCAAATGCCTAGGTTAAAAAGTGCGGAAATTCTCGGAAAAAATAACGGAATTGGAATTTCCTGGTAATATGCACATCTACACATTGTGTCCTAAATACCTGCAAAGTTTGACGAAATTCTGTGCAGCGGTTTATGAGGAGTTGCGCTGACCAAAAAAAAAGGACTGACTGACTGACTGACACTCTGACGGACGGGTCAAAAACATTATTATACTTTACGCAACTAGTTGCGTGGGGTATAAAAACGTTTTGCCACAACGGTCACGTTTAATTGGAAAAATGGCATTTTGCTGTGCCCTGTCCTCCCTCATCTCGAAATATTTCCTACATGTCATTCGAATATTCCAGTTAAATAAAATGTGCTAAATTTTCTTCGCATCAAAGTTTTAGGGTGGATCTTTGAAAACAAAGTGATCTCGAGTAAATACATACGGAAAGTTAAACAAGTGTTTTCTACATTGGAACATATCGAGATAACGAACGGTACATATATTCAAGATCAAAAGTCCATCAAACAATACAAAACAGGCGCAGAGCAAACACGGACCTCCAAAAAATCGGAGGTGGGATCAGGTGCCATGGAGGATTAAGCAACCCCTGGCGACCGATCACACCCGCCGTCGGCTCCTTGTCATGACCGAGAAATAACTGAAAAATACATCGTCAATTTAGTGTTTAAATAATTGACAAACAATAAATATGAAAAAAGTCTGTCAGCATTTGACTCAATAATAAATTTCATTTGCTGACCAGGTCATTGTATCGACAACAGAACTTACGAAATGATGACTTTAATCAAGAGTGCCTATTTTCTTGTTTCATCAACTTGTTTGTCAATAATTTACCTCATTTTAGAAATTGTTCATACGTAGAGGAGACTCTTGCGTATCGAATCAACTCCGTACATGTATGCAGGTGATGAAGGTATATTACTGCATAAGGGAAAATGACGATAGAAAAGTTAGAGTCATCACGTTTATCATAGAGCTTGGTTGTAAGTTTACCATTAACATCTTTTTTCAAGTAAAATATCCAAATTTGAAACAGAATCTGTAAGTAGAATCTTTTATCTCACGCTCTCCAGGATATATCGTGTCAACGTAGGAATTGTTAATTGACAATACGTTTTCGATATATCTACATGTAAATTTCGAATTGAAGGCAATAGCAAGTGTTTTCTTCTTTTCATAATTTTTTTTCCTTATATGAATACAAAAATACGTCTGCTAATAACGGAGCGCCATTAGTACCCATGGGAATTCCAATAGATTGAGATTGGACATATATTTTCTCAATCAGAAACTCAAGCATCTTCAGAGTACTTGTGTGTACAATCAAATGTTTTTGAACAAAATAATTTCGTTAAAGACTATTGACAGGTAAGTAAATTTAAGAGTTCCATTTTTATTGAAAAAGCAGCTGTCGATGATATAAAAAAGCCTGGACTTTGATTTATCGTGGTGAATGGTTGTGTATAAAGTTGAAAAGTTGTAAGTTTTTATGCAGTTGATTTTTGTGAAATCTTGTAATTTTAAATTTCCAAAAGTTCCTTGGAATTTTGGAGTATCCATATCTGAATTATACCACTTCTTGAATATATTGTTGCACTCTTGAAATTTCTCCTTCACTACTGATAACATATCTCAAGGATGAGTTAAAAAAAGACTTGGTTGAACATTTACTGGAACACGCTTTTTTATCTTTGTTTTTGATTGATTTTAAAAATTAGTATGAAGTCGTAATTTTTCAATTTAAGTTTTTTGTACATGCCAATCATCATATACAAATAAAATTGAAAAATTGCGAATTTTTTTGCAAAGAACACGTCAGACTTGAACAGACAAAGAGAGACAACTCTATTCCAGAAGCTATAAGATCATTGGGTGGGTGGGGAAGGGTCTTAACCTTTAAAATGATTGAATGTTACTGAAATCAATAAATTTATCATTTTTAATTTATCTTTATTTATCTACAAGAAAATTAAGTTTCTTGAACTCGGATGTTCAATTTTAATTGTAATGTATCGCTAAACGTTACTTGCAATTTTTTGGAAAGGATTAAAATGCATTTTCAGTCATGCAAGTAATTTAAAATATTTTTTCGTACCTTGCTATACAATGTATCGAAACATATCATGCAGAAAGGATTGCCGTCCTTGGCAATATATCTTTGCCCCGCTAGGGGCGCATCACAGTTCCAACAGCAGAAATGTTCAACGTGCCATGTTTGTTTCTCAGCCTGTGTGTATTCACGTGCGAGAATGATCTGTGATATAAAATAATAATTAAAAATTATCATTAAAAACAACTAAAATCAAAAATTTCGAGAAATCAGGTACTGGGTATCCAATCTTAATTATATTTCTTTTTTCGATTTATTTCTTGATTTACCAAACATATTGGCATACAAACATGTTACATGCATGTACAAAACGAAAAATACAGTGTATTTTTAGGTTACTAAAACACATACTAATTTATACACATACTTGACCTCTTGACCTTGGAGTTTGACCCATTTCTCAAAAAAGATAGGGCTTTCATACTTTACAAGTGTATTCATTGTGACAACAGCTTTTAATGGGTAAAAATATTTTTGACATTTTCACCTTGACCTTAGAGTTTGATCCTATTTAAAAAAAACTAAACATTGACCATAACTTTTGAACAGTTAGTACATGTACTAGTGCTTAAATTTCAAACTTCGCATGTGTATTCATTGTGACAAGACCAATGAGGTATATTTTGATCTTGACTGTAAAGTTTGATCCATTTTACTAAACACTCGGCTATAACTTTGAAAGAGTTAGTACTAGGTCTTTCATTTTTCACAGGTATACTACATGTACGAGCTAGTATTCCTTTTGACAAGACCTTTCTTTGGATACAAACAAATTAGACCTTTCGGCCTTGACCTTGGAGTTAAATTTGCATTAAAAAAACTAAAACCCTCGCCAAGGAAGTTATCATTCACCATTATATTATAAACATGGAAATGAGATTACATACCTCGTCGCATGCAGCGCACCGCGGGTATATCGTATCAGCATAATGTCGTTCGCAGTATATTTCCTCGTTTCTTGTGAAGTATACCATGTCTACCAGAAGTTCGTTACAGGTCGCGCATGTAAAACAGCCTGGATGCCACGCTGTGGCAGAACCAAAATGATCAGTAGAAACACAAAATCCACCGCTAATAATGTCTTTAATGCAGCGATGACACCTCTACAAAAAATGAAGTAAAATAGTCACAGGTATATAACAAAGGATGTAAGAGCTTACATGCAAATTTTGTTACAAAAAAGTAATTAATCAATTAAATAACATGTAAGTTCGTTGAAAGCCTAAATTTGCAATCATTATGATGTTTTACTGAATTAGAAAGAAGATTTCGTAAGATTTCTTTTAAATAGCATTTAAATTATAGTCTACAAGTAGACTTTAAACAACAATCGTAAATTTGTACATTCTTTCTTGAAGTAAAACTTATTATCTGAGCAAATCTCGGAAGCTTTCGGGCTTCTGCAATGGAAATTTCTACCATTTCTCCTTATGGTCCCACCCACCCGTCTTAGAGTGTCCAACCCTCCCCCCCCCCCCACCCCACCCCCGCCCATCTGACCCCTCTTGATACTCTTCATTCCTTTTCTTAAGCAGGGGACACAGATTCTATGGAATAAGCTTTTCTTGAACAGACATTTACAGTATTTATAGTCTGTAGAATATTCTGAAAAAAAAGCCCCTTAATTACCTCATTATCTCTGAGACATTTCCCATGTTATTGGTTCGACTGAGAAAACATTGTAATGCATCCGAGTTCCTGATGTTTTAGACACATGTTTAAATCAGATAATTTGCCGTCTGTTTTATGAGTGATTAAACACACGCTGTGTTTGACTTAAAGTAGAGGTGAATCTACCTCGTAAACAAGCTAGGCATGTTTTGGTTTCACGAGTGTTTTGGTTAGAAAAAAGAATTGCTGCATATAACTTTCATACTTCATATTTTTCATCATTATATTGTTGATTTTGTTTTGTTACTATTATTTTAAAATTCATTTCTTGAAAAAAAAAATCGCACGAAATTGTCGCAAATAAAACACGATCGTTTGATCATAAAACTTTCAATATTTGAGCAAACCTTTTATTTGCTTTTTAACATGTTTAATAATCACCTACAAAGTTAGTCGCCTCTTTAACTTCCATGATCCGCCCCACTCCCGCCGCTTTAAGCTTTCGCTTGTTACAGAATTTCTGGAATTTGAAGAGTTCGTTTTCCGTCAGGCTGCTGCAGAATTTAGGGTGAAGGTCATGTAGGGGGAGTTGTTTTTGGAGCTGTTTCCTCCTCAGCTGGGCAGCGAAAAACTGTTTGTCTGGGGGCATCATTGATATGTACTTCTGGGATCTCTGTTGAAATATTTTTTTTTAAATAAATACAGATATAATAGATTATTAGTTTTCTTAATTTAAGACTTAAAGAAACCACTGGATAGCGAAGAAGACTAGTTTCTCAGGGGTAATAAACACTTCTGATGAAATTAAGGCAACTGTATTTTGTCAACTGCTATTGTCTAGAGATTTCGAGAGGAGAAAGTGCCTTCCTTTCCATTCTCTAAACTGCAGAATACAAAATTACAATGTACATAGCCATTTTAAGTTCCTTGGCGTAAAGGAAATGCTTACTATATTTTCCGAGATAACTCTAGATAACACAACATCTGTCTCAAATCCATATATGTCAGTTAGTGTCTTAGGATCGTCTACATAAGCTGTCCCAGAATTCTCCGTAAATCGACCGTTCGTGGATCCTGGAGACGTGAGGACCGGAAGGTCAGATGTGCGGGGTCTACTCGTTGATTGGCTGCTGCTACCAGTAGGGCGTGGTATACTATCCAGAAACAATCCTATTGGCTGACCATCATCACTCTCGTTTCCATGGAGATCATGGTCCTCTCTGGAACACCGGCAATTCTTGCAGATTTTTCTAAATAAAATATTATTTTACATTAATTCATGAAATACAAAAGTACATTAAATTTTGTGAAACATAAAAACGGTGTCTAAATATATGGCAATATCACAATAACTTGTAAACTATAATAGTTCTGCCTGGCATAAATGTAGATATTGAATAGTTCGTAATAAATCAAATTGGGCAAACATACTTGTTTTATACATTGAAAAAAAAATGTCTTTGATATTTACAGCAAACACTTAATTTCAAACTTGTTAAATTACATTGCAGACAACAAAATATACTCCTAGGGAAACCTTACTATGATTTTTTTGTTTAACTGTTTGAAATAAGACTATTACATGTTTATGATTAAAAGTATATCTGATTTACTAGTATGTAAAAGTACCTCCAGTAATGTAGCTCTAGGCCGGGACAGTTATCCCCACATTTCAGACAGCGTTGATGTTTCGGGATCAATGGGATTCGGAACTCAACCTAAATGTAAAGATAAACGGACACTGAATTTAAAAGTGTCTTTAAAATCACTTATCATAAAATATATTTTTGATTCATAATGGAACATAACTGTATGAGCTTAATGTGAAAATGTGCTATATGCAATTTAAAGTATTTATATATGGAAGACTTTTTTTAAATTGCCCTAAACGTTATAAGTTTTTTTTGAAACAGATATTGTGTGCCAGAATATACCAAATGCTCCAAAAACTTAATAGCGAGATCTTAATGATATTCGCAATAAACAGGTTATTCAAAAACCACAAATAAAACGAAATTACTCTGACGGTAGATTTAAGTACACCAAGCTGATGTGCACAACTGATCTAAACGAACTCGGTAAGACGTTCTGATACCAACTACATGATTACAGAGCTGTGTTGCAGCCACTATCGAAATAACGTTCACTATTGAAAATATTGTTTCAATAGTGGTTAAAAGTGTGCCATAACAGGTTGAAACCACTAAAACAATACATTCACTATTGAAGTAAGAATAATCGACAAACGTTCAAGTACTTCAATTCCCCCATGTTAGTGTTTCATCCCGGTTAGTCTCTATAGAATAAAGGTCTCAAGAACACCAAAGGTTGATGTGTATGCTTGTTAATTTTCAGGGCAGGTTTGAGATTAATGATCAAATGTCTGAGATTAAACATGTTCATGTATGTGATGCTTCATATTTCTTTTCCTGCATGCAGCTTTCGAACGATATGTTTCAAGTCTAAATCCTGCAAGATGATTCCTGATTTTTTTTCCTCAAAATTTCCCCTGTTTTCTTCGTCTGATTCTGAATCTTATCTATCCTGAGATCACACCAGGGAAAATCTGTTGCCAAACCTCCACCCACGCACATTACAGAAACCTATCAACAGGGCGGAGTGATTTATTTATTGGTAGTGTTATCAGACCGACTGAGTACTCTCTTGTATTAAGAAATGTACAGTGTATCAAGACGCTTTTGTTTAAAATTCTGCATCAGGATTGGACAAAGCCGCCTTAAAGTTTATTATACGCAATATAAAATACTGGACTGGATAAAGAATTAAGGTTCATCGACACTCTGACAAGAGAGATAACTTTAATTTTAATGCTAAAAATTTTTTTTATTCCTTTATTGGTACAATGCATATCTTTTTGTCCAAATTTGCCTCGCAAGCTATCACGCTAAATTCGTTTGTTTTGTTTTTTTTTTTTTTTTGGCTTTTATTTACAGAGTCTGACGTAGTACCAAGGGGAGGGGGGGGGGGGTGAGTACCTTCGGTTTTGTGCAACAGTCCATGTTTTGGGATCGGAATAGTGCATGTAAATACACTTGCACACAAAGGTACATGTACCACTTCATCTTGAAAATTTCAGTGAAAAGTACGCTTTTTCGACTCACGGTGCCCAAATCCCAATTTTAAATTGCCATGCATGGTAAGCTACAGAATGCCTATTAAATGCCTGAAGTTCAAGTTTGTCAGAGATTTAGTCAACCGATGATATAAAATGTACACCCCCCTTTCATTTCGTATACTTAAAGAAGAGAGAATGTCCGCTTAATAAATCAGTAAGGTTGTATTTTATGTTTATACCTCTGAAAATTTCGTCGTTCCATACATTGTGTTGTAAAGACCTTGACTTTATTACTCGAAATAAAGTTCTAGTACTTGAATTAAAAACCATGCGTAAAACTTTTTAAACTAATACTTACCTTCTTATTAACAGGGACCGGCCCGTAAGCCATTGTAATTTTAAAACGAATGAACGCAGCAGCATCTGTGGACTATGTTTTTCTAAACCCGCGATCAAACTCACACACTCACAAGATAACAACAAATATTTTCAATCGGTTTGAGAGCATGCGCTGAAACATCTAATTTGTAACAAGGATTACACACACACACATGTATGCATCATAGATCTACAAGACATAGAGCTATATAAGCGTTTTTTTTTTTTTTTTTTTTTTTTACAATATTTTCTTTGATATGCGTCTTGTTTTTACAATACTTTCTTTATATCCTTAATTTATACTTAATTATCCAATGATGAATATTAAGCCTTTTTATGAAAACAAGATCAAATTAAAGTGGATCCTTTACAAGGCTGGTTCGAACGCACAAAGACATTTTCTTATTTTGAAATGAATTATTCATATAAATCGCTTACGCACACAAAAAACTTTTAAAAATTGCAAGTTACTACTGCATACTGTGACAACCTATATATATATATTTTTTTTTTAAATTTAAAATTAAAAAATGACATGTAATAATTTTTCATATACAGTGTATCTATACGAGATACGAGTGTATCTCGTAGTAAGTAATTTGTAATTATATATTATTTAGAATTATGTACAGTAAATTGAGGTTAAAATGTCCTTGCTTTGTGAATCCTTGTAACTTTTGTAATTCTCAACCCAAAATAAAAGGTCTGTAAACAATGCACTTATTTATCTACATAATTATATACATTAATTGAGGAGGCACAATACAAACCAAAGATGATACATTTGTGCTAGCATATGTCTGTATGTACTGTCTAAATTCTAGTAAAGCACTCCCTACTTCTAAAATAAGTCACACTTATATACAAATCATAAAGCTCTTCTTCACTTTTGAGCCTGCATTCATCCCCCTCCTTTAAGTAACTGTCCTCAGTTAACAAATAATTTTACCTAACATTAACACTAAAGCTACAAATGTCCTATAAATACATTTTGGAAACATTTATCAAAAAAACCTAATCTACTAAAACAACTATTCTATACATCTTAAAATCAAAAGTCTCCTTAAAATCATAATCATCCTATGAGCATCTCTTCACCTTATACTTAAGTAACAAACCCTAACATTTCACAACTTATCAACCACTAGACATAATTACATGTATATCAACACAGTGTAACGTCAGTTATACAATTTTTAAAAAGTTATTTAACTCTATGTAAACATGTTATTTATAGCTGTCAATTATATGATATCTTATAATTTAAATTGTTCATAGAAACATTAATCCAAAGCAAATAATCCAAATAACAAATAGTCCAAATGCACATAAACACGAAGTACGATTGAATTTACGACATTTCAGCGGACACGAAACAATTTCTCAAATTGTTCAAATGTTCTGGCACTGCATTTATAATATTTGTTGCATTTTTCAAAAAGTCAATTTTTTCTGGCATTAATCCTTCGAATTCACTGTAACTACATTTAATTTCAGTATCTCTCTCAATAGATTGATTTCCATCTGCAAACGTATGTTGATATCGTTTTAACATTAAGTTTATACCCATTAATTCCACTTTCTTTGTGGGGGTGAAGTAGTCATTGGTCCCCTCTGCTTCTTCATCCTGCTCAAGGTCTTCTGGACTTTCAGGATTTTCAGGATCAGAAACATCTTCTTCATAGTTCGTATTTCCTTCATAGTCCACGGGTTCTTCTTTTGAAATGTTAAGGGTTTCCATCGTTTCATCTAGTGATGTAATGACAAATTGCTCACAGGAGAATAATATTTAGTGAAAATTTCTCCAAAGTTCTCTTCTTCTTCATCCGAAATGTCAGAGAACATATCATTAGTGATGGTCATAAACACTGGCTAAGACTCTTCATAATAACTTTGGTACTTTATCATGTACTGTGTTATTTAAAGGTACTTGGACACAGATTTGAAGTTATTATTTTCTCTATAATATTACGACTTATATATTTTAATAGCATTTCACATAAAAAATAATTAAAAATCTTATTTCGTTTAAAAGATATTGAAATTTCAAATTTTTTTCGGCGGGTTTGATTGACATATCCTTGAACTCTCTCAAATTTAATTTTATTCTTAATCCTTAGGAAAAGTGGCAATCTCGTTTTGTATAAATGAAAAATATTAATACTATAATCCAGAAATTTCAGAGTAGACACGTTCGAAAGCAAACAAACACACAATATATTGTCAGTCCGTGCAAGTTGTGGTAAGCAGACTGTGACGATTGAACGCACCCGGTGAATTCTAAATATAAACAATAACAAAACTCGAGCCCTGTTTACAAAAACTGTGTACATAACACGAGTGTGCTAGATTTGTTAAACTCTGTACGCATCTCTTAGTTCGGAATGACGATACTTGTGAAGGTGTTTTGCTTTCTAACATTTCTACTCTGAATAAAATTATTTTGTTGATAAAAGTTTTAATATTTTTAATACTTTTCCTGAGGATTAAGAATAAAGTTAAAATTTGTGAAAGTGCAAGGATGTGTCAATCAAACCCGCCAAAAAAATTAAAGTTTTAATAAATTTTAAATGAAATAAGATTTTTAATTAATTTTTTGTGTGAAATGCTATTAAAAATTATAATTCGTGATATTATACAGAAAAAATGAGAAAATATTAACTTCAAATCTGTGTCCAAGTACCTTTTAAGCATATTTTCTTGCAAAGACTTTACCACACGTCGTCACAGGGCACTGATAATGTCTATTCGAATGACATACTCTGATGTGTCTGTACAAATTTCTATTATAAATATAACGTCTAATCTGACGATTTCTTGACTCATAACTGCCTTTAGAGGGACATGGCAAGAAGTTGTCACACGTTTCATTGATGTGAGGTTTAGACCATCTAGCTTTCCTGCAATTCTATCCATCTTCCCTATCATCTTCTCAAAGGAGTCCAATATAACTTTCATTTCGTTTGCTACTACGTTAAATTTAACAGGTTCTGATTGAATACTAGTTATTAATTGCTCATTACATTTTTCTCTATTTGCGAATCTAAGAGCCTGATCAAAACTCTGAGGATCTGACATCGTAACATATTGTCGTAACTCAGGATCAAAACCTTGCAAGAAATGCTCCATGAAAAGCTCTTTTTGACAACATTAATCTCTCCTTCTTGCGATCAAGTAACTTATCAAAATCCTCTTGGACCTTCTGATCTAAATCATAAAAATCAGCTGCATGGCCTCTCAAATATGCAGGTAGCATTTCAATCTTCCTCTCAGGTGTCCATTTGTTAGCATGACTTATCTTTTCAAATGTTTTGATCCTCTCGAAATCATCTCCAACATGTACATAGAATTTGGATGGCGAAACATGAGTCTATTCTATTATTGTTAGCTTAATTCTCACTGACTGGTGAACATCCTAGGTGACGAAATTGGAGATGCACTTCTTTTCCTTCCTATTCTTTTCATATTTAAAAGAATTCACTCTGCCTCGAACATTAATTCATTTGACCATTAATTAAAAAAAAAACAAATAAAAAACACACAGGTTCAAATATACTTCCAATTCAAGGAAATGCTAGCTGGAATCCCACCTCTTACACGACAAATATGTCACGGAGGTGACCAAGCAATTTTAACGTAACGTTTTGGTTTTACCATAATATCAATATATCCAAAAGAACTTAAAAAATATCCTTGTAACTTTTGTAATTCTCAATCCAATAAAAAGTCAGTTAACAATACACTTATTTATTCACATAATTTTTATACATTGACGAGGCACAAATTGAATACAAACGAAAAATGTTACATTATGCCAGCATACGTACATGTATATGTAAGACAATTGTAACTATTATGAAATAATCACAAGAGTTAATGAACAGGTATAATTAAGTTTATTACATAAGTGAAACAATAGAAGAGTACTTTGCGTTGTGTTTTAAAAATGAATAGATTCGTAACATTTAATAAGTAAACAAAATAAAATTAAATTCTCAAAGTTCTTTAACAATAAATAAGCTCAGTCCATCTTTATCATGTCCATAAAATAAATGAAATTATAAAACATCCAAGCCAATCGAGTGTTTGTTAGTCCAATTCAAAGTGCGGTCGAAACGTAAGTTGGGTTTCCCAGTAAAGTTTGTAAGCTGGAGAGTGTCGGGGAACAACACAAAAATCGCCAGGTAATAACATTTATACTAATGTCAACGAACTCGTTCATTTAAGTAAAGCACTGTCTTATTGGTGAATTAGTGAATCTCGCATGGGTCGCGTGAATCCCGTATCCAGGGACGCTCCATCATAGTACGTCTATTTGACCTCCGTGACCTCCAGTGACTCCTCCCTCTGTCCTCCTTTAGTTCATCGGTGACCATAACCTGTCAAGGTGACCGTCAGGTGTAGTAGCCTCCAGATACTTATACGGAGTGACCACCAGTAATGAATAGAGTTGACAAACTTCCACCAGATAAACCCTCTGATGTACCAAAAGAAGGAGACTGAAAGTCTAACAAATATTCGTAAATACACATAAATAGAATTCAATGAGCTGCAAGGTAAATTACTGCATTGCAACAAGGTTTGTGGTTGGTCCGCACTTTAACTGACCATTGATAATTATCAAATTGTTTACGAGTAATCAAGGTCCCTTAACAAGGTCTTGTGTACTTGATTTCCCTCATAATTAGTTCACTTTAATATTAAATTAATAATTGCAAAATAAGAAATAATTTATACTTTATAATTTGTACTTTTCTTTAATCAAATATAGATAGTGTAATATTATATAATGTTGGTGGTGACTGTGTTACATTTATACTTTAAAGCACTCCCTACTTCTAAAATACGTCACACCTGTTTATACGAATCTTAACTCCAACTCTACATAATCTTTATAAAATCCTCATCAAACTGGCACGCTCAAATTTGAAATTTAATTTATACACGGCTCCCAATTCTACGAACAATAGGTCCCATTGCTCCACTTATTAAAAACTCATTATTCTTGACCACACTAGACTTTGCTCTACACTTAATTACCCTAACACAGCTTGAATAGTCTCTGCAATGCATCCGTATGCCTTTAACTGCCTTTAACTCTGAGCATTTAATCATAAATCACTTTTTACTTTTGAGCCTAAAATTATTACTTAACATAAACATTTAAACATGATCATGAAACTAAAAGCGCTCGGGAATTGTGATTTTATATATTTAACTACTGTAACATTTAGAAAGTAAACCTACATGTAAAATTTGAAGTTGGTCAATGCACAAGTTGTTTACATACACCGAAATCTAATGTGCATACAAACATACTTACGTATATAGGTTTCCTTTGCAGTTTAAATTACCTGATAAGCTAAAATTAGAATTCATCCAGGTGTAACAAATCAATGACGGAAAATGTTGACGACATTTTATCTAGGTAGGTCTTATAAAATCATATACACATTCTAAAGTATAACATATGAAGATATCTGCCTTTACAGTATTTTATTACTTATTGAGTTTAATTGTTTAATTGTTTTCCATCTATACGCGTCATCGTCATTCAATGAAAACAATGGAATTATTTCACTTCCTTGTTCTGAATAGCTGAGTATAATGACGAACTTTTTATTCCAACCCCGTTTAGTTGATAAAACAAATTAAATTTTTTTACATTATACTACGTGTTTTTAAAAGTCGCTTTTTTTTTTTGATAGACAATTTGAATATGTTTACATCTACCATCGTAAACAAAAGCATGAACGATATATATATGCACAAATATGGCGTTGTTAAAGGGGACCGATCTAATCCTCTGATAAGAAAAATAATTTTCGGAGTAAAAGAAAATACTGACATTATTCATATTTTTCATAACCATACAGAGTTAGATAATTGAGACGTTTGAGTTGTCAATTCGATCAAACCTGATACGATGGACACATTACATGTTACTTTCTTCACTTCTGCCTATACCTTTCAAATTGCTTTATTACTATAAATTTCACAAAAATATTGATATTAAGTGTAAAAATCAGTACAATACTTTTTTGGACCATTTAAAACGCTTTCATTAATGTAAAACGTACCAAATGTGGAAATTTTATTTATTTTTTTTTTTCATTGAAAAAGTTATATATTTATAAGTTAACTGTTGCTCATGGATTCCTTTTTTTTGTTGTAAGCACATATTCTGATTAAGAGAGTAGCTCTTCGTTATGTTTCCTAAATATACTGGACAAAATAAGTTAAGGATCATGGTTTTGAATTTTTTTCCCAAAACAATTATGATAAGTATATTTTTTACGTTATAACTCAACCGTACTTTCTTTAACAAGTTATTGATACAAAAAAGCTACCTGTAGGGTCGTGCAATTCATGCCCAATTCATGCTTTACGGAATACCGCCCCAGTGTGAAAATCAAAGTGATTCAGGGTATACACAAAGTTAAGGAAATTGTTAATTTGAATACGTGTTTTAAGTTGTGGATATTTTTTGATGACCCTGTGACATTTCAAGCCATGACACGCCACTTAACTGGCTTTGAGGCAGCCCAAGCTGTAGGTATGCTTCAATCTGGCAGTACTCAAAGAACTGTTGCTGCACACTTTATTGTGTCCCAAAGTGTCATATCACGATTATGGAATCGATTCCAACATACTGGTACCGTTGCTGAGAGACCACGTTCTGGTCGTCCAAGGTCAACCACGGCTCGTCAGGACCGTTATCTGGTCAATATGGCAAAACGGCAGAGGTTCCAGAGTGCTGTTAGGCTAAATACAGACTTTACCGTATTTCATGACGGTCGTAGACAAGTTTGGCGTACGACTGGTGAACGTTATGCAGATTGCAACAAGAGTGCGAGTAACACCACAGACAGTTCGAAAAAGACTCCATGCGGCTAATATCCGAGCATTCCGACCAGCAGTCCGGCCCAAACTGACCCCAAGACACAGAAAAGCCAGATTCTAATGGGCGCGAAACCATGTCAATTGGCAACTGCGTCACTGGACCCCTGTTCTTTTCACAGATGAGTCGCGCTTTAGTGTAGACTTTCATGACGGTCGTAGACAAGTTTGGCGTACGACTGGTGAACGTTATGCAGATTGCTGTGTTGCTGAGCATAATCGTTTCGGGGGTGGTTCTGTGATGATTTAGGGTGGTATCAGTATAACTGGAAAGACTGACCTGCACGTCATCGAATGAAATCTTACAGGGATAAGATAACGAGATGAGATACGGCACCCTATTGTCAGGTTGCATGCAGGTGCTATCGGTGATGATTTATATTTTAATGGACGACAAATGCTAGACCTCACAGGACTCGCGTCGTAACAGACTACCTGGAAAATGAAACCATTGAGCGACTGGACTGGCCCAATCTTTCTCCTGATTTGAATCCCATAGAACATGCTTGGGACAAGCTACAGCAAGCCATTTCAGCGCGCCCAGTACTCCCTAGGAACCGTGAGGAGCTTTCTGCAGCACTCGTCGAGGAATGGGCTAGATTGCCGCAAATTTTCTTCCGGTGAGACTTATCCGCAGTATGCAGAGGCGTTGTCGTGCCGTTATTCAAGCACGGGGTGGCCATACAGCATATTGAACACACCAAAACACTGCGCAAACGGTTACCTCTGAATTTACCATCCTTTACCAAGGCTGTTTTTCATTCTGTTTTGGAGGTTGTGTAACAATTAATCCCAATGCACGTTAACGCTTTATTGATTTTTGATAAATACGATAAAAATTGTTTGTTTACTTGTTAAAGATTGATATTTTATAGATGTAATTTAATATATTGTTATTTGTTGTAAATTAAATAATTTATAAATCATGATCCTTAACTTATTTTGTCCAGTATAAATAAAAATGTTAACATGACAAGTGCTTGCTAATATTTTAATGTACCTATATTTTTAATTTTATCCTTCAATAATAAATTTTAATACACTAAAAATTTCATTGTTTAGATTTCTTATTATAACGGTCAGACATAAAATTGATACCATTTCTTTAAAAGAAATATAAGCAGCGCTGGATGCCTCATACTATTTTTTTATTTGAATCTAATATCCTATAACTTTTAATGAAATCAATTTCGATAAGTTTATTTTTTAGTGAGAGATTTAGAGATGAATGTCATTAGTCCTTATATATACATTTAGTATATAACTGCTTTTTTGTAGCTCTTTGCTGTCTGCCGCTGGTCTGTGAAGCAAGGACATATTGCTACAGTTATTCCTCGTATGGCTACTCATCATACATTTGTAGCTATTATCTGTAAGTATTCCTCATATGACTACTCATCATACATTTGTAGCTATTATCTGTAAGTATTCCTCATATGGCTATTGATCATCATACATTTGTAGCCATTATCTGTAAGTATTCCTCATATGACTACTCATCATACATTTGTAGCCATTATCTGTAAGTATTCCTCGTACGGCTACTCATCATACATTTGTAGCTATTATCTGTAAGTATTCCTCATATGGCTACTCATCATACTTTTGTAGCTATTATCTGTAAGTATTCCTCGTATGGCTACTCATCGTACATTTGTAGCTATTATCTGTAAGTATTCTTCGTATGGCTACTCATCATACATTTGTAGCTATTATCTGTAAGTATTCTTCGTATGGCTATTCATCATACATTTGTAGCTATTATCTGTAACTATTCTTCGTATGGCTACTCATCATACATTTGTAGCTATTATCTGTAAGTATTCCTCGTACGGCTACTCATCATACATTTGTAGCTATTATCTGTAAGTATTCCTCATATGGCTACTCATCATACTTTTGTAGCTATTATCTGTAAGTATTCCTCGTATGGCTACTACTCATCACACATTTGTAGCTATTATCTGTAAGTATTCCCCGTACGGCTACTCATCATACATTTGTAGCTATTATCTGTAAGTATTCCTCGTATGGCTACTACTCATCATACATTTGTAGCTATTATCTGTAAGTATTGATTGATCTGCTGTTAAGATGTTTTCTACCGGTCACGTACAGTCTATTTTCTGAAGGGGCTGCTCTTATTTTGTTGTTGATTTTCTTCTATTTAAATTAAAACCTGAATATTTTGCTAAAATTTTGTAGTACAACCGTTTTTCAACACCACCCATCCCGCATTAAATATTGAGTTCTTAGAGAGTTTGCATGATAGTATTGTTTGAAAGCGTTGTTACAACGCGAAATGTAATAACAACGCGAAATGTAATAAACATGGATTATTACATTTTGCGTTATTACATTTTGCGTCGAAATCAACGCAGAATGTAATAACGCAAAATGTAACAACACACTTTTGAGGATTACTATATTTCGCGTTATTACATTTTGCGTGGAGATCAGCGCAATATGTTATAACGCAAAATGTAAAAACACGATATTTGGATTATTACATTTTGCGTTGTTACATTTTGCGTCGAGATTAAGCAAACAGCAAGAACGCAAAATGTCATAACACACTCTTTGGTCAGCCAGATTGAGTACAATTATTAATAGAGTAGTAGCCGATGAAGAGGAAATTAAACAAAAGGAAAAAAACAGATATATGCAATTTCCTACAATTAATGAAATTCATAATACATTGATATAATAAGCTACATGTGTTTAAAATCAGTTTAATTAATGTATTCAAATTATAGTTGTTGCAAATTAGAAACGCGCGTGAGTAGCAGCGTACTTTTGCTTTTTTTAATTGAAAATGCAATTAATCTAAAAGAAAACCTATTTATTTGTACTAGCAGGTTTAAATATATATATCTGAAGGGTTTATTGACAATTATGATACCATACTGATCTATGCAAATCACCTGCATTGCAGACAAGCAAAAACACCCCCCCTCTCTCTCTATCGAATAATTAAATGGACTGTTTTTGCATGTCCATAGTAATACAATGATAAATATGCTAAGTAAACACTCCACCCTATCCCTGCCCTTCCTTGCTTGACATACGCATACACTTCTTTGTTAACCAATGTACACATGCCAAACATGCATATCAAGAGCTAATAATGAACTTATGGTCAATTTTTTGGTAATTAAAAAAATTGTGTTATTGGTTAGAAATTTAATAAGACTATCATATGCCAATTAAGTTAAATTAAAGCTTTATAATTTAGCACAGTGTATTCAATTACTAAAGTCAGAGTCAGAAAAACGATACATTTTGATGTATTTATGTCCGTAAAAGCCCTAGTGTTGTTCTCATTGTTTTAGTTCTAATATTTTGTACAGCGTTTTTCCCATGTTGGTTATATGTATATTTTGAATCAATTTTATGATCTTTTTTGTTAAACGCAATCAAAAAAAAAATTGTTTTTTGTTTTATTACATATTGTTGTATTACATCTTGCGTTGTCTTCAGTGCAAAAGTAAAGTAACGCAAAATGTAACAACGAAAAAGCACATTATTACATTTTGCGTTGATCTCGACGCAAAATGTAATAACGCTAAATGTAATAATCTAAAAATCGTGTTATTACATTTCGCGTTATTACATTTTGCGTTGATCTCGACGCAAAATGTAATAACGCAAAATGTAATAATCCAGGTTTATTACATTTCGCGTTGTTATTACATTTCGCGTTGTAACAAAGCGTGTCTCTAGTTACAAGTCAAAAAACATACGTTGAAGAATAATATTTCAATTTATATAGATAAAATTGAGCTGGTATGTGTATTATGAAAAATGATTTCATGCTATAAGCAGTGACATCAGATTTGTGTTTGATGAAATAAAAAAAAATTGTAAAGGCATAATAAGGGAGATTACACATTTACATGTATTGTGGAACTCGTTTAACATATACCGAATTAAAATATCTTATTTAAGAAAAACAATTCCCTACATGTGCCCATATGAATAATAATTTATTCTATGTGGCATTTTTTTACTGTAGATCAACAGCAGACAGATTTGGGATTGCCTATGGAACTGTGGTAGGGATTGGACTAGTAGTGTCAATAATTATTTTCGTTGCCTGTAAAATGAGACAGAAGAGAAGGCCACCCAACCAAGCTATACTTCTACAAGGTTATCCGAGGGTGGCTTACGCTCAGTTAGGTAATTTATATAAAAAAAATCATATAGATATCATTGCTATTTTTGTTGTCATCTTTTTTAGGAAAATTCTTTTATTTTAAATTGTCTATGAACGGGGCCCGGGGTAAAGGCAATTTCTTCATTTTTCAAAATTCTATTGATATCTTAAAATTGATTAATGCAGTTAGGGTAAACAAAAAAACATGATTGTATTTACATTTATTTAGAATATTGCATATACATGAACAGCTTTTAATTTTAAGAGGCCTTGGGATTGTGGTCATTTTAGAATATATATATCTCCTTTAAAAGAAGAGCTCCATATGAAGATATCCAAAAATAACAAAATTCAAAAACTAAAATGTATGCAATTTTTCTTTGACAAATGATAATTGACAGCTTAAGATATATGAAAAATGAAGTTGTTTCTGATGGTTAATTTATTGACCCCCAGCCTCCTTTACAAAATATAATTGAAAGAAAAACACAAAAGTTGATTTTTATAAAACAATTTTTAGGTAACCTAAATTACTCAGGTGACCTATTGCTATCTCTTTTCTTCGGTCATCATGCGTGAAATTAACGGTATAATTAAACATTTTCAACTTCTTTTTTCTGCTGAATCAATTTAAAGGTACTTGCACCCAGATTTGAAGTTAATATTTTTCTATAAAATTACGACTTTTATATTTTAATAGCATTTCACACAAAAATTAATTAAAAATCATGCTAAAAATTATTTCATTTAAAAGTTATTCAAATTTTAAATTTTTTGGCGGGTTTGATTGACACATCCTTGCACTTTCACAAATTTTAACTTCATTCTTAATCCTTAGGAAAAGTGGCAGTCTTGTTGTGTATTAATGAAAAATATTAATACTATAATCCAGAAAGTTCAGTGTAGACATGTTCGAAAGCAAAACACACAACATATTATGTCAGTCCGTGCAGTTGTGGTGAACAAACTTTGGCGAGTAAACGCATCCGGTGAACCGAAACACCAAACAAAATTCGAGCTTTCGCCCTGTATACAAAAACTGTGTACACACCACGAATGTGCTCGATTTGCTAAACTCTGTACACAACGGAATGACAATACTTGTGAAGGAGTTTTGCTTTGTATCGTTTCTACTTTGAATAAAATTATTTTTCTGGATTTAAGTTTTAATGTTTTTCATTAATGCACAACAAGATTGCTACTTTTCCTAAGGATTAAGAGTAAAGTTAAAATTTGTGAAAGTGCAAGGATGTGTCAATGAAACCCGCCAAAAAATTAAAAGTTTTAATAACTTTTCAATGAAGTAAGATTTTTAATGAATTTTTATGTGAAAAGCTATTTAAATATATAATTTGTGATATTCAATAGAATGAATTGATTTTAAATACTTCTTTAATCAGAGAATATACAGTGTTAAAATATACTCAGGTGACCCATATAAGGCCCTTGCCCCACTTGTCGTATGCAAAGTAATATTTTTTGTTCAAAATAGGACAGCAAGTCTTATTTGCTCCACAAGCGGGGCTCATTCCAACAGCAGCACCACAAGGTGCCATTACCAACCCTGCATTACCAGTAACGAGCCGACAGCCAGCAACATCTCATAATACCATAACCAACCCTGTATCTACCCCGACCAATCAACAGCACCAGGCACAGAGAACGGGTACAGCTGATACACACAGAGTGGGGGCGGAAGGAATAACAGTCAGGTTACCCGAGACAGAAAAAGAAGAGGGCAAAACAGACGACCCACCGCCATATACTGTCTAGTGTACTTGAACTACATAAAGGGAAAAAAAAATCTTATTTTCATTGACTCTTATTATATCTCATTATATACATGTATATTCAAAAAGAGTATTTTTCATGCAGAATTTTTAACAACTCGTCATTACATTGTTTATTTTAACATTTCTTTTGTACAGAATGTCTAAATGAACTTTAAAGTAATATACGCCGTATGGATGCCGATTTGTATGTGAAACAAAATGATTAAATGATTTGAAACACATTTCACCCATTCTCAAAATAAGGGCACAAATGCCTCTCTGATTTTTTAAAAAATGAAGTTCAAGAAAACAATTTTTCTATCAATTACCTTTGAAAGAAAGTATCTGAAGATTTTGTTTCCAGATTTTTTTTCATCAAATTATAATACATGGAATAATGACAAGACGATAAAGCAGAGGGTGATTTTATTCAGAAATGTAGCTTGAAATGTACGTTACTCTTTCTTCAATGTCCAAAAAGATATGTAAAAAAAATGTAGTCATTAAAATCACAATTGGAATAGCTCATCTTAACACCAGCACATCCTACCAACTCTGTCAGCAACATATTTTCTCGGCATACGAACGTGCGTTTGATTTTTCCTTTCAAAAAACAATGGTAACTTTTTGATCCAGATGTATGAAAACATTTTTTAAATATATGCTTTAAATTCTTCTCTCTGTTTTGTTTAGAGCGATCAGTTTGGAATCTTGTCATTTTCTATAGATACTGGAACCTAACATGTACATGTAGTAAAATTCTATTTTGTAGTTATTGTCTTTTTTAACATATATCCACGCCGATTTAGAAAACTACGTAAATGTAACGTACATTTCAAGATATATTTCTGTTTAATAAAAAGCTTAAAATTCATCTAAAATTCATCGTTTTGTTTCAGTTTATTAAAAAAAAAGATTCTCTATGTAATCACATTGTGTTATATGTCGCAATCACAACTATAAAGACACCATTGCCTCAGAATATGAGTAGGTAACGTACATTTCAAGATTGTAATATGTAAATTAGTAATAAGAAAATTTTGAAAAAAAGCAATTATTGACATAAAAATCATTTCAATGAAGCGTTTTAAGGCAGTAATATAAATATCATAATGTAACAAACGAGGTTATTTGTCATCAACTACATGAATGTCACGTCACTTCGGTAACGTTCATTTCACATATTATTGGAGAGTCCCCTCCACCTCAGTTCATTACCATTCTTTTGTGCTGTTTCGCTGAAATTGACACCGGTCGTAGCCTAGTTACTTCTACCTGTGTGCAAGGGTACAGACAAAAAATATAAGAGTCAGACGTATTTTGCTATGATCTAACAAATGCTCGTGTTTGGCCATTGAAACTTAACATAAATCTATTCCGAATATATCCATCGACAGTTTGTTAACAATTTCATTTAGTATGTTGCAACATCGTTTTTCTAAACATAAACATACGTGCTTTTCAGCAGATCTGGAAAAATATAACCCAAAATGCAATGATTCAAACAAAACTGAGTATTGTGTGCCTTTCAGTATTTGAAATGTACGTGACCGTCTTGTGTTCTGGGTTTAGGCCTATTTGTTTCTTTTTTTTCTCTATTTTTTTTTTGTTTCTTTTTTTACCAATTATAAGCCTATGCATACCTTGTTTTAAATTATCAACAACAATTAAACTAATATTGACGAAAAGTCGCATATTAAAAGTAAACAAACTGCAAAAAGGTTACCAAAGATGAATTTAAGACACTTTGAAATAAATTTTCTAGCATGTGGTAACAGTCTAAAACATTTACGAGGATTAGGGGTGCATTTAGATGGATTTATGTGGCCAGTTGTCAAATGGATTGTAACGATAATTTTGTTTCGCTCTTGTAAACGCAATTCATTGACTAAATGAAAAAAAATATCAGTTAGAAATACGTAAAATGTACGTTACCATACGTAACGTACATTTCAAATATAAAAATCAATTATCTTCCACAAGCGTACGTTAGACACGCAATATATTGATACTATTTGAACTTGCATATCATAAGAAATGCATCACACAGGTTTCATATTCAGAAATATATACCAGGTATCAAAATTATATTACATATAATTGACCTTAATATATTTTTTTTTCCTCAGCAGAAACGTTTCTTTTCATTAATCTTGGGATTTAGCCGACCTCCAACCTTTGAAACTTTCCTTTGTGTACACATTCGAGTGTGTGAAAGTATGAGAATACATGAAAATTCGTGCGAGATTCACTTAATTCGAATTTCATGGTAACGTACATTTCAGTCACGTACATTTCAAATGATCACTTTTCATGTAAAAAATAATTTATAATTGTGTTAAGCAAAACGTCTTTGCCAGTTTACAGGATACAAGGGGTTGCTTATTCAGATTCGTCTCATATTTTCTACTTAATATATATTCTTAATGGAAGAATATAGGTAACGTACATTTCTTTCTTATCTCTACGATTGAAAATGTCTTTCATTCCGTAAACATATTTATAAAAGTTGCTCAAATTGTTCAATTTCATGTTACATTATCTAAGTAGCAGTAATTAATCTATTGAAATTTCAAATTTAGCCCATCAATAAATAAAGGAGAACAAAACTATCAGGTGTATAATCTTTGTGTTTGCTTGTAATGTGGTTGAAAAAGAATTAAGCGACAGGGACATTTCACAATAAAAATTATTTATTATCACAAAGAAAATGTATTTGTTGTTATGAAAAGAAATATATATGATACAAGGTTTAACTTATCAGAAAATTTTTACTTAAGAATCAAAACTATATATTACACAGAGGGGATTCAGAATAATATTTGCCTCGGCGACAGTAACGTACATTTCAAATAGGCTACTATATTTGAATTTGGAACTCCTTAAATACCCTTTCAGATCGATAATTATATGAATTTGTATTCATTGTTATATGACTATTTATAATGTTAATTTAGAAATTACATCATTGGTATTTCTTTTAAATGAAATTGAGGCGACATCATTTGAGCCCTTATATTGAGAATGGGTGTAAAGTGTAATGAAAAAATAATATTTCCGCAAAATTTAACAATAAAACTCGTTGTAATAACAGAACAATAAAGCAATATCTGCAATCAAGAATTCAGTCTTTTCATGAATATTGATAAAGGAAGTGCGTAAACAGTAGGTCTAAATATAGACACGTATGTCCACGGGAAATTATAGACAACGAGGCACGTTGCATTTTGACAACGATTATTAATAAAAGGTTAATATGCGTCATAACTGAGTATAGATGGTTGATCTGATTACATTTAAAGATAAGTTATAATATTAATAGTAACACGCCATCTATGTCAAAAGTGAGTTGTATCTCAAAGGGCTTACCTCGTTTTCTTGACGCCGTGTTTGTTTATCAATCTAAAAGTAGCGACGGCGTCACGTGGTGGATTTACTTAAAAATAGACATTATTCTCCTTGCAGGATAATAAATAATTATAATTTGATAACTTTATAACGAATTTTATTTAAATGGTGTAATTTACAGCATTTTCGTAACTTTTATTGGTAAACAAAATATATAAATTTTCAGCCGTATTTTAAAATGGCGCACGTTATAGCGTATATTACTTTAAAATATTTTATAATCACTAAATATTGGTTGTATTAGGTATTAGTTGCGATTACAATTATTTTATTTTAAAGATTTTGATATCAATTTATATTAACTATATTTGAAATTTTCATAGAATTAGTTTCATTTTATTATGATGTTTCTAACATAAATTGTATAAACGATGATGTATATTTTTCTGTTAGTGTATTGTACTGAAATATATGGAGATAAAGAAAAGAATTCCAATTTAAGGATGTACAACACACCTACCCCAAAAAATTCCTGTCGTTTAAGTCCTTAAAACATTACAAAATAGAAGCAGAACAAACACGGATCTCTAAAACATCTTATGAGGGACTAGGTGCCATGGAGGCATTCCCTGCCAACCGGTCACATATGCTGTGTGCTCCGGAAAAATGGGAAGATAAGTATGTAATTATGTCCGAACAACTAGACTGAAAGATCAGTCAGTATTTGACTCGATAATACTATAGTTAACTGTACTTGCTAAAAAGGTCACTGTATCGACGAAAGAACTTACGAAATAATGACATTGAATTAGATTGCTGATATTCCTGGTGATATTTTGTTTTTGATAATTGAATTTTTACATACATTAAGCATATTAAATATAGAATTTGTCGTATACATTTTAAAATGTTTACAATAAAAAGAATTCAACAGAATTCTCTGGAAAATCCTTGAGTAGATTTTAGTAGAGTTTATCATTGACGAAGGGGAACATGCCAAAAGCATGTTTCGGGGTACAATAGTTAAATTCAAACTTTGATCTAAATAAAAATTCTTAATGCGAAGCATTCCAAAAGTGGTCAAGGGAAATGTCTGGTTCATATTTGTATATTTACTGGAAAAAACTAAATTAAATCAGATCTGTTTGATAAAGGTAATGATTTATGATATTTGAAGATTAAAATAATATAAAATTATATCATAACTTTAAGACAAATCGGTTAGAGGCGACCTTGTCTTAATTATCTAGCTAAAACCATAAGCACCTGCATATGGAATTTATGTCCTCTAGCTGATTCGAAACACAAGACCATGCATGCTTTACGTAGATCTGTATGAACAATTTCTAATGCGAGTCAAGCTATATTGGGAATGGATATAAATATAAACAGAGAATGAACAGTCCCATTTAAAGTCAATATTTTTTTTATTGTTTCTACTTCAACAATGACCTTAACCTAGTTAGCATATACAATATATGTTGATTGACTTTTTCAAATAAATTGTTTTAGAATTGACGACGGATTTTCCCGTCATTTCCCTATCATATCAAGAAAAACACGGCAGGTGTGACCGGTTGGCATGAGATGCTTACTCCTCCATGGCACATGAACCTATCCCTGAAGTTTTGAAGGTCCTTATTTGCTCTGCTTCTATTTTGTTTTGTTTTATATACTTTGAAATTGAATACTGTTCGTTTTCTTCACACTTCATTTCTATTGTACGGGAACTGATCAGTAAATTATGTCATGAACTCTATAACGTAAAACAGAAAATATTTTATATTAATATTGGCATTTCTCATAATTGCATCTTT